AAGGAAAGGAAAGGAAAGGAAAGGAAAGGAAAGGAAAGGAAAGGAAAGGAAAGGAAAGGAAAGGAAAGGAAAGGAAAGGAAAGGAAAGGAAATGGATAAAGAAACAATGAAATCAAAAGACAAAGAGAAACAAAAGAGAAGGAAAATAAAACATAAATGAAAAAATAAAAAGAAGAGGATGAGGGTGAGGCAGAGGAGGGAGCCAGTGGGATGCAGGCRGATGCTCCGAGCCTGTGTGGCCAGTCTGGGGGGGCAGGAGTTGTGGGCGGTGCAGGGTTGTGGAGCAGGGTGGGGTTCCTGGACTCACTGAAAGGAAAATAATAAAACCCCAGAGAAAACAGAGAAGGCAGAGGCCAAGTTTCCTTTCTTGGGGGAAGCGCTGGGGCTAGGGTGCAGCTGGAGCCCTTTTGGGGTGGCCTGGGGTCAAACAATACCCTGCTCCTGCGCACTCAGCCTCTGGGGGGACAGGGAAAGGGACAAAGCAGCCCCTGGGTGACCCTGGTCCCAACCCCCAGCCCTGCTCCCCACCAGACACCAGGGACAGGTGACACAGGCACTGGGGACGTGGCCGCCCTGGCTGGACAGAAGGTCATTGGCTTTCTGATTTTTCCTTTTCCTTCTTTTTTTGCCTGTTTTTACAGCTCCTCCCACCTCCCGACTATCCCTCAAGAGAGGCAATGCCCGGTKCCTTATTTGGCCCGGGAGAGGAGGGAAATGCTGTCCCTGGGAGATGCAATCCCTGGRAAGTGCCATCCTTGGGAGATCCCATCCCTTAGAGATGTCACAGCTTGTCCCACCGGGTCATCCCGGTGCTGTCCCAGCACACCCCRGTGTCACCAGCAAGGCCCTGGAGCAATGGTGCCAAGCTGGCTGTCAGCACCACTTCCCTCCCCTGTGGATTTTTGGGGAGGCTGGAGAGTGAGGGCAGGATTTAGCGGGCTCCAGTGGCGCTGCTTTGGGGCTGAAAGGGGGGATTTCCTCAGTGCCCCCAGGAGAGTGGCTATGGTCCCCAAGGCACACACAGCTTTGGGGGTCTCTCCCAGGTGGAGGTGGGGGGTTCCCAGGGGGTTCCCAAGTCACTGCCTCAACCAGTCCTGGTCAGCGGGAACAGAACAGGAGGGGGTCCAAGCTCACGGTGACAGGGGGGTGCAAAAACTCCCCACTTCGGGGCAAAAGGAAGCGGGGCTGTCCCCTGGTGTCCCCAGCGTCTTGAGGGCCACCCTGGCACAGGGGGTGGTGGGAGGGGACGCGGACAAGGCACAGTCTGGTGTCCCCGCGGGGGCGGCCGGGCTGGGGGATGGCCGGGGCGGGGGTCTATCGGCGGCGGTGGCAGTCCCTAAACGTCCTCGTCCTCGCTGGCCTTGCTCCAGCGGTGGCAGCAGTTGGCCGTGATGCCCAGCAGGAAGTTGGTGGCCACCGAGGCGATGGAGACGACGAAGCCCACGAAGGCGATGAAGAGATAGTCGTCGAGGGTCAGCGTGAGGTGGCAGGCCTGGAAGCTCTCTTCCGTCAGCGACAGCAGCGGGGCCCCCGCCACCTCGGGGGGAGCCCAGCACTCGGCCTGCTGCGAATCTGCGGGACGGAGGGATGGCGTCAGCCCGGGCGGGACGGACACCCCGGGCAGGGTGGGCACCCCGGGCGGCACCTACCCGAGGAGCAGCGCTGGATGCGCCCCCGCAGCCACTTGAGGAGGGGCTCCATGGCGCAGCCRCACAGCCAGGGGTTGCCCCCCAGGCGCAGCCCCACCAGGCCGGGCAGCCCCTCCAGGGCGTCGAGGCTGAGGGCGGCCAGCCCGCCGTAGCTGAGGTCCAGCTCTCGCAGCTGGGCCAGSCCGCGGAAGGCCTGCGGGTGAACGCGGCGCAGCCCCGGGTTGTGGCTGAGGTCGAGGCGCAGCAGCGCGCTGGCCTCRCGGAACATGTCGGCGGGCACCAGGCTGAAGTTGTTGTAGCTGAGGTCCAGGTGCGCCAGGCGCCGGGCGCCGCGGAACAGCCCGGCCGGCAGCGCCGCCAGCGAGTTGTTGCGCAGGTCGAGGGCGCGCAGCTGCCCGTAGCAGCCCAGGTAGCCCGGCGGGATGCTGGCGATGCGGTTGTGGGCCAGGCTCAGGTTGCCGGTGTCCAGCGGCAGCTCGGGAGGCACGGAGAAGAGGCGCTGCCCGCTGCAGTCCACCGCCTGCCCGCGGCAGCTGCACAGCACCGGGCAGCCCGCGCCCGCCGCCGCCACCGCCGCCGCCGCCGCCAGCAGCCAGGGGCCCAGCAGCATGGCCTCGTGGCCGCGGCCCTCACGGGGCTCCGGGGGCCATCCCGCCCGCCCGCTCACGCCTGTGAGGGCTGCCGGCGGCCGGCCGCGGGGCCGGGCTCGCGGCGGTCACAGCGACGTCCCCGGCATCCCGGCGGCATCCGGGGGGCGACGCCAACCCCTCCGGGGGCAGCGGCGGGGCCGGCGTCGGGCCGTCAGCGGCCGCCTGCGAGGAAGAGGAGGGGGGGAGGAAGCCGTGCCGGCCGCACGCCCCGCCGGGGGGGCCGCAGCTGTCGCGGCCCGGCGTGGCCTCCWGGGTGCCCACACCCTCCCCGTGCCCCCCGAGCGTCCCCCGGGGATTTCGGGCAGCAAAGGGCCCCCCAGTCCCGCTGACCTTGGCCACCCCGTCCTGGCCGGTGGCGGGCAGGGCAGAGGTGCTGTTCCGCAGTCCCCCACCGGCCCCCGCCAGCCCTCCTCCACCACCGGCTGAGCCCGGTGCCGGGGACGCGCTCCCCGTTTCCCTCCTGGGGGAAGGTCCCCGCTCCCAGCACCCATTAGGGTCCTCCCCGGCCTGCCCTCTCCCCCCACCACCTGACCGCGTCTGCTCCATCTTCCCTCGCCCTCACCGCCCCAGCTCCATCCTTTCCCACCGCTCCACCTTGCCCCGCTCACTCCCCATCCCCGGGGCCCCCCGACCCCTCCGGCGGGGCGGGGGTCCCCCGGGGTACTCACTGGCCGGGRAAGGAGCAGGGCCTGCCTCCCTGCGGTGATGCGGGGGTCCCGAGCGGCGATGTGGGGGGCTCCGGACGGTGATGGTGGGGTCCCCGGGGGCCACCCACACCCCGGAGGCTGCCAAGTCGGGAGCTGGGCTCCGGCGGCGACGGCCGAGGCTGCTGCAAGCCTGGCGATGGGAGCAGGTCTTTCCCCACCTCCTTCCTCCCCTCCTCCTCCTCGTCCTCCCTTGTCTCTCTCTTTCTCTGTCTCTTTTTTTTTTCCTCTTTTTTTCCTTAGGGCCAGATACTGACGTGTCGGTGTCTCTTAGCAACTGCCTCCACATCTCTGAGCAACAGGAGAGCGGGATGCGGAGCCGCCGAGCCACGGAGACAGCGGCGGGCGGGCGGAGGTGCCCCCGCCCCAGGGACCCCCTGCCCAGGCCGGGGGACCCGCACCCGCATGGCCGGGGCACCCGGCAGGGATGGAGCAGCAAGAGGGGTGGCATCCTTCTCCCCTACCCCGGTCCCCAGCCCTCCCACACTCTCCCAGCCCGGGGAAGCATCCTCGTGGGATGGGGTGAATCAGGGGTTCCCAGGCGCTGAAAACAGAAACAGATGACGTGGCGGCAGAGGGGAGAAACGAGGCAGCCGGGATCCGAGGGGAGATCAAGGATGCAAAGGGGGCGCTGGGATCCGAGGGGCACTGCCACCCTCCTGTGCTCCTGCTGTGCTCACRGCCCTGGAAAATGCCTCAGGTTGACATGGATTATTTTGCTTCACGCGAGCTGAAACATTCCCTTTCCCTTCTCTTTTTAGAGGGACACAGTGGGGTCAGCCACCTGCCCCTTCCCACCTGAGAACAGCCCTTTGGGATGACAGGGATGCCCATGGTTTGCTCTGGGAATGCTGCAGCACCATGGCTCCAGCATTTCTAGGAAGGAGGCACTTCCACATCCAGCCCGCCCACGTCTAGGGGATCCCTGCTTAATTCTCTCCTGCTGATTTCATGGAGCTGCTCCTTTTTCCAGCTGGCACCGGCAGCCCGATGCTGGTGCTGGGGGGCCTTTTGCTCCCCACATCCCATGGGATGGATCCTCCCCGGTGCGACTCTGGCAGACAGATGGCACAGCCGCCTCTCCTGGGGTGGCATTAACCAGCACYGCTCCAGGCTCGCAGGGAGCTCCTGGGAGCTTCTGGAGTGCCAGGCTGGGCTCCCAGCGGGCCCCAGGAGCTGCGGGAGCCGAGCAGAGCCAGCARCAGCACAGACACCTCATTAGCGTTCAGCCCGGAGCCTGGCAGTGCAGCCCTGCCAGCAGCTGTTGGCGCTGAGGTTTTTTCCACTCCCCCACTGTTCTGGGCTCTGCTGGCACCAAACAAACTGGGRAATTGTCCTGACTGGGGCTGAGCTGCACTGGGCTTGTGTCCCCCTCACCAAATCGCCTGTGGAGGTGGCCACGGGGACACCGTGGTTCAGGGCACTGTCCCTGAGGAAGCCAGGGGATGATGCTCCCTTCGAGGCTGGGAAGGAGACTGGTTGTCCTCCCCCCCTCACCCTGAACCCCCCACAGGATCCTAACCCCATTCAGAAAGCATTCCTTTCTGGAYAAAGGAATRTCCTTCTGGATAAAGTGAGCAAAARTCCACTTGTGAGAGCACTGGCTCAGGGGTGAGTGCTCCAAGCCCTGTTTTTGTGGAAGGAGTGGCAGGATGACTCTAGGGATTCTGGCTCCGTAAATCTACAGCCAGARCCTTTTCTCTTTCAATCTGTCACTGTCCCCGTCAATCTATGTGCATTCAGGCTTAGGAAACGAGGAAGGAAGGAGAGGGATGGGTGCAGCTCTGGGACTGTAGGGTCAAAGCAGGATCCCCTCCCCCAGAAACACTGAGAGAGCCCCTGGGGAACCATCCCATCCCCATGCCCAAATCAACCCAACTCCTGCTCAAGGCAGGCTGWACACTTATCCTGGCAAAAACAGGATCCAGAGCTCAGCCTGGGCTTCCTTTTCCTATTAGAAAAGAAGGGTGAGGAGGCATTAGCCACTGCKTAAATTGTCCAGGGAGATTTTTCCAAAAGCAGGAAGAAGAGKCTGGCTCAGACTACGATGAGGGCACAGGAATTGCAGATAATTAAGATGGTAAAGATAGAGAAATACATAAATATAGTAAATACTCAGAAAAAGCATTAAAAAATGTTATCCCTACAGGGTGATTAAAAAATCTGATCTTCCCTACAGCCATTTCCAAGCTTCCTTCTGTGAAGGAATATCCTAAGTGAATAGGAAATGAGGCAGAATAGGAAATGTATCTGGTTGCAGATAAGTAACAGTGATTTCTGCAAGGCAAAAGGCACAGTTACCAAGGTATGGGAGACACACAGAGCGCTGGACTTTATTATAAACAACTTTATTGTTKCTCAGGAAAAGAAAACAATATTAAAATTGTAAATACAGGGCAAGTAGGAAACACAGTCCCTTAGAAAAACCCTTGTCCCTGCCTTGGCTCAGCTCTGGGAGTTGGAGGAGGGGCCGGGTGGGGAGTGCCACACGGCCGAGCTCGTGCGCTTGAAGTAGCGGGGTTTGCTCTTGTAGAAGATGTCCTCGAGTTTGGGGGTGGGGATGGCCCCGAACAGCGCGTCCAGGTCGGGGGGGTTGTAATACTGGTGCACCACGGCCCCCTGGAGCTGCGTCCCTGCAGGAATAACGACAACAACAGTCGGGTGCAGGCCCTGCCCAAGCCTGCAGGATGGGCACACTCCTTGCCTTCCCCTCTGAGAACCCATCACCTGGGCAGGAGTGATGGGACATCACCCAGAGCCACCACACCTCACTGCCCTGCAGGATTTAGGGCTGTCCCCCCTTTCTTCTCAGAGAACTCCCGTTTTACCTCAGTCCCTGAACCTTTGCAGGAAGCAGTGCTGATCATCCCCTAAGCACACAGAGCTGGGAGCTGCTAGTGCTTCCAGGGGTGCACACACTCCTGGACAGCGCTTTGGGACGGCTCCAAGCCCAGCTGGAAAGCTCCAGTGCTGGCACCTACCCTCGGCCCAGGCAGGGACWGGCTTCCGAGGGTTGCTCTCATCATCTGTGGAGTCGTCGCTGTTCAGATCCAGCCCGTAGCTGTTGTCATCGGTCACAGGGGATCCTGGTCCCTCAGCACCCTTCAGGGACCCTAGGCAGGATGTGGAGAGGGATCTCTGAAAYCACACACAGAGCAGTGGTGAGCAAGGGAAGCAGTGCTTCCCTGGRTGGGATGGCCACCAGAGCCCCAAAGTGTTCAAATCCTGAACCAACACAAAACTGTCACTGGGCTCTGTGCCTTGGCACCTGCTCTTAACCCTCCCTCCCCTCCTGTTTTCTCAGGAAAAAAACAAGGAAAGGAGCAACGTGCACATCCCAGGACTCAACTCTGCACACAATATGTGGGTTTGAGTGTAAAGTCGGTTTTCCCTCCCTGGAGCTCTGACACAGCCAGGATGGAAGCCGCAGCYCCACGGCAGAGTCCCGGCAGGGACAGCGTTCCACCCCAACTCCGCGCAGCCTTTGCTGCCGCTCTGCCTCGAGAACGCTCCGCACTCGCAGCTGGCACAGCTCGGCTGCCCAGGGCCGCTCCCGGCGGGACATCGCCCCAGGCCCTGCTGCCCTCCTGTGGCCGCTTCCAGCATCTTTTCTGCCACAAACCGCTCGTTTTTTTCCATGGCATTCGGTGTGCCGAGCGCTGCGGTGGCTCCGAGCCGCAGGGGCCAAGTAGCCACAGCAGGCGGGGGCCACCCGAGGGCTGTGCCGGGGCCAGGGCTCACCTTGACGGCTTTGTTCGGCCACGTCCCAGGTGCTGCTGCTTGGATGGGTTTTTTCTCTTCTCCCAGCAGCTGCTGACCGTCTGCCACCTTTAAGACACGGGAATGAAGTCATTCCTCACTCACACAGAACAGCCCCTGGGACAGAGCTGTGTTCTCGGCAGCTCTGGCAAAACCCAGCTCTCGGTGCCTCTGTAGCATCTTCTGCAGAAATGACCCCAGACCCAAGACTCCCAGATAAAGCCAGTCCTGTCTCTCCTCAGATCCAGCCCAGCTCTCTGGAGCCCTCACTCACCCTCTCTGCTTGCAGCCACATGTTAAGAGCTGGGAAAAAGAGTTCTGGTGGCTCATAWCTTTTCTCCAGCCCAGGCACAAGGGGTGGCTCTTTGGGCCTCTCTTTCCCCTAATATAGAGAAAAAAATTCACTACTCACCTTTGTGATGCAAACCACTTCTCCCAGAGTTTCCCCTCCTGTGCTGCTCAGCACTTGGACTTACTTCCATTTTCTCCTGCCTGGAAAAGCTTTGCCAGGCTCATTCTGGCCCAGCTGCTGGCAGCACAGGAAGGATTCCGACATTAAATTAAATTTATACAGCACAAAAGAGTCCAAGTGCCAGGGACTGAGGGAAGGAGTACAGCAGGAGCCCACACAGGAGGAAGAATTGATCCTGAAGAGGAAGAACCATTTGGGGCATTGATTTTTCACTAATGAAGCAATGAATTCAAGAATAGAGAGTGAAAGAAAACGTTAATGTGATATTTCAAGACAAACAGCCCTGACTTCAAGCCCCAACATTCTTTGTGCAAGCGCAAATGAAGTGACACAGAGACATGGGGCACCCGTTTGGTTTGGGGGTGACATTTTTTGGGCACAATGAGGAAATGTGGCAGGAAGACATAAATCTCTAGTTTTCATATTGATTTCAGCATCAGAGGATGCCGTTTTTGGCATTTTTCCAAGTGCCATTTCTTGGCTGTCACCATCTCACGACAGGGCTGAGGGCTCACCTGTCAGCCAGGGGCACCCCAACTCTTGGCTTGTTTCTGCAAAGCCTCTGCACAGTAACAATCCTTAGTTTTATTGTATTTGATCCTCCAACCATCCCTGAAGAACACCTGATCCTGAGCCCAGCCTGTGTGCCCTGTGTGCCCTGTGTGCTGCAGGGAGGCTGATGACAGAACACTGCAGCTCACCTTGGTGGCCTTGACAGCCAATGCCGCTGGCTCCAGCTGTGCCYGGAGGGGCTTCTCCTTCCCTCGCTGCTTGGGATCCCTGGGAAAAAGAGAATTTAAACATGGGGAAGCATGTCCATCTGTCCCTCACGCTCTTACAGCTTCCTGTTCCTGCCCTCCAACCTCCAGGCAGCTCCAGAGCCCAGTTCCAACACCATATTTACATTATTTGCTTCCCCATGCCCATGGCCAATTAATTCCCTGCTCCAGGACAGGCGCCAGCTCWCACCTGTCCTTCACTTGTTCCAGCTGTTGCTGCTCCAGAAGATTCTTCAGTTCCAAGACTTTCTTCCCTCTTTCCTTGACGTCATCATCTCTCCTTTTCTGCAGTAGTCCTTGCTGTTCATTTTCCTCCTGAAGAAGCAAGAGGAAAACCCCTATAAGCCTCCAGTAGCTGGGACATGTCTCTCTTCTGTCCCAACCCAATCTCAGGTGCCTGGACAAAGATCAGGCAGCCCAGACCCCAAAATCCCTGCAGAAGCAGGCAGTGACCTGTCTCTGTCCCACCCTCCACACCAACACAGCAGGTCCCTGCTATCCCTGTCCTTTTCTGTGTGCGGGAGGGTTTTGAGATGCTCTTACTCCTCTCAGTGCTTTCTGCTTCCGTGCCTCTGCTTCCCCGTGCTTCTTGGATGCTTTCCTTTTGGTCTGCTCCTCTGCCACCTTCTCTTCCCTCACTTGTGAGACGTGCACCTGGAAAAGCCACACCCATCAGCTCCACCACTCCAAGGACACACCTCACAGCCCTGGAGGGAGATGGGGACCTTGGGATACCCCAGGTTCTAAGGAGACCAAGGGCCCAGCACCCAGCAGTGGGTGTGCTTTTGTCTGCTCAGGGGTTGGGAAGGGCTGCAAGGAGTGTGTAGGCTGTTTTCCAAGGCTGACCCTTTTCAAAGGTCACTTCAGTCCRGCCCAAAATGAGCAGCCAGGCCTCACCCAGAGGCTGCTCAGGCTCCAGCCCCAGCCCCAGAACCCTCAGCCTTGCATGGCCATAACATGTGACCACAAAAGGGGCCAGATGAGGCTCTGAAACCCAAACCTGACCCAAATGAACCCCCAGCTGAATCACACTCCAGTCCAAGGATGTGGGCCAGGTGAGGCTGTCACCTGCAGGGCTGTGCCCACATCAGGCAGGGGCTGCCACATTCCCTGAATGCAGAGCACCATGAACAGGGCCTGTCCCAACAGGAACGTGCAGGGGGCTGGAGAACAAAAGCCTCCTCTTGTCAGAAGAATTCTGGCATGCACAGACCTTGCCAGTGCCCTGCTCACACCTCCYGGTCTCACAGCTCTCTGAGAGGCCCAAAGCCCACTCAGCCTTCTCACCCTCTCATCACTTTGCAGGATCTTCTGCTCCATTCGCTTTTTCTTCTTTTCCTCCATCTGTTCCGCACGCTCCCGAGCCTGCGGGGCCTTCCTCAGACGCTCTTCCCGCTTCCTGGGCAGTGCGTGGGCAAGAGGGACCCGTTAGCTCTGCCTGCTCCCAAAGTGCTYGTTCCACGTGGGAGGCACAAGGCAAGTCTGTGCTGACCCAAGGTGCCCAGGGAAAGGGACCCAACTCACTGCTTCATTTCTGCCTGACGCCGCCTCTTCTCCTCCTCTACTTTCTTCTTCCTCTGTTCCTCAGCCTCCTGCTTCTTGCGGAGGTTCTCCAGTCTCTGCCTCTCCTTCTCCTGGAGGAGGAACAGTTCAGACTGTACCAGGTGCTGCRGGCTGTGTCTCCTGCCAGGCAGCCTGGTAAACACAGTCGCTGTCAGAATCATTCACTTGGACACCGGGATGGGGAGTGAGGAGAAGGGAACACAACGCACATTTGGCAACAGGGATTATCCAATGCGAGCAGAAGTACAGGAGAGAGAGGTACAGCTGCAGAGAACATATTTAGGCAAAGAACAGCACATCCCTGCTGTAGGTGACCACCTGTCCCAGAAAAAGGAGGGAGCACAGGGCATAGGGCAGCCTGGCTCAGAGGCCAGAAGCTCCCAGCAGGGCCCAGTCCCAGGAGAACAAACCTGCACAGAGATCCTGTCACCTCACCACTGGTGCAGCCAGAGGGCTGATGGACATKGGTGTGAGAGGAGAGCATAGTCAGTGCGTCCAGCCCCACAGTTAAGGTGTCATACTTACAACAAAATCCCCCTGCAGAGAAAGGACACGAAAAGCACMATCAAATGTTTGGAAGTAACACCAGAACTCCCCTTCCCAGTTCATGTAGCCCATGTTCCTCCTACCCCTTGCACATGACACACCTTGGGGTTGGGCCGGGTGGGAGTYCCGCGCTTGAGGAAGTCCTTGATGCCACCCCCTTGTCCCTGCAGGAAGTTCTTCAGCGGCCTGACAGCCTGAGGGGAGAGAGGGAGGGAGCTCAGGGACTGCCGGGTGTCTCAGGCACAGGGCTGGGGCACCACTCACCTTGCTGGCCGGAGAGGGGGATGATGGAGCCTGGTTTGCCAAGGTCTTGTGCTTCTCATCCAAAGGGGAAAGGCCACGGCCCCTCGGCTGCTGCCCATGCCACAGGACACCCAGGGCTTGCTTRCAGCCTCTCATCCTGGTGGCATTAGCAGGAGGGACATTAATTGGCTGTCACACTTCTCAGAGGGAGTGGATTTACTTGCGGTTACACACTTCTCCCAAAACCTCCCCCAGCAACATGTGGTGAAGAGACACATCAGGTGTTCTGGGAGTCAGGTCGGGTTTCCCAGACACTCCCACAAAAATAACCAGGTCAGTCACTCRCTCCCTGATCACCCCCTCAGGAACCCTCAGAGTCTGCTCCCAGCTCTGAGCTAACTGTGCTGTCTCATCTCTGCCAGTTTGTGCAGGACCATGGGTGCTCCTGCCCATGCCAGACCCTGTCCCAGACCCAAAAAAGGCTCCACAAATCACAAGGAACTCCCAGGAGACAGGATCTAGCCAAAGGGCATTTCAGARCTACTGGAAGTCAGGAGTGGAAGGCAGGAAAACAAACCCCCACAACCCTTTTTAACACAAATGACTTAAAACGCTAAGCTTGAGTCCTTCCAGACCCCAGGCTCATCCCTGCTCCTACCACATCTGGGAGGGATTCTCCCGGGCCTTGGCACAGTGGGGTTGCTCCTGGCTCTTCTGGGGTTCACTGTTGGGGTTTACRTGGCTTCCTGTGGAGAAACCTGCAGTCAGTGCCACGTGTGAGGCGTCCAGCTCCCTCCAGAGACCCTTCCCTCCACTCTAGCTGCTTGTCAGATCCCGAAGCTTCCACAGGGAACAAAACCTCTGCACATCTCCTTGCTCAGAAGCATGGAAAATAATTAGGACCTCTAAATCTTCACATAATGCAAACCCAGAGGGAAAGGACATGACATTCTGTGGAAGATTCCAGCTCCAGGAGCTYCTTCCCAAATGCCCCCACTCGAGTCCTTGCACAGGCTGAAGCTGAACAGGACAGTGTTTGTCTCAAGGCTCGGATACACATGTCATGTCCCTGCCCACCTAATTGATGTCACCTCTTCAGGAGGTCCAAACTTCACCTGGAAAACCTCCCTGACTAGTCAGAGGTGGCTCTGTTCCAACACAAATCCCTTATTTCACAGGAATGCCCCAGCTGACCTCGAGGTCTGTGTGTGCTGGGGRCTTCATGCAAGGAAAGCAAGACCACCTGGAAGTTACCTGCAGAATTCCCTGCCTGCTGCTCCAGAGGGGACAAGTGCTGTGCAGGAGGGCTGGTGGCTCGGGGACTTGTGCCTGGAAGGAGGATGCCTTTGGGAGCCTGCAAGGAAAGGGGACAAGCATTCCCTTAGCACAGCTGCTCCAAAGAACAAGGCTACCAGGAAGCTGCTGCCCTGGAAAAGCCAGCTGCTTGCTCCTAGAGGGTTTGCTTCTCTCCCAGTGAGGTCTGTGATGGCTCATTTTGGGACACCAGTCACATCCCTGCACCCAGTGACAACTTCAGCAAAGGTGTCGACCCATCAAGAACGTGTTAACAGTCTGAGAGTTACTCCTTGGAACTCACCTTTTCCCTCGGGGAATCTGGCTCCAGCTCAGGYCTGTAAAGGAAAAGCTGCTTTAATAATTTAAATTCCCTCTGGAGGCAAGGTACAGGTGATTGAGGCASTGTATGGGACCCTAAGGGAGGTGCAGGTTCCTAAGCACCAGAGGCAGTTCCAGCCAGGCACCCCAAGGCTGGGCTGTAAATTCCTCTGAAGGTCTGCCCACCATGCTACTGAACACCCCACAAACAGCTTTGGCCCCTGTACAGGTAAGGAGGAAGCTCTGACAGCCTCAGGCTCAGCCTTCCTCACCTGTCCCCTCTCCAGCCAGAGGGGAGATGACTGACCACCACCACCCTGGCATTCCATGGCTAGTGACAGCCAGGAACCCCAGGACACACCATCACCCACCCCAGTGAAGGACTTAATTTCGCTGTGCCTGAATAGCACAAACTGAAATCTCATCAGCCCCAGGTGACAGCAACACCTGAGCAGTCCCTGACAAAATCCGTGACAGAAAAAGCACTTGGAAAGTGTCCTCACAGGGAATTCTGGGATCCTTTCCCACCTGCTTTACATGGCAGCCTCACCTTGTGCTGCTGGCTGCATCTTCTTCCAGAAAAGCCTCCAAGGAGCTCTGACCTGGAGAGAAAAGCCTAAATGGGGTTGGGGATTTCACCTCCAGGCTCCCAACAGCCACTGGGTGCCCATGGAGGAGCTCAGGCTTCCTCCCAGGAACAGGGATTGCTCAGCTTTCCCCACCAGCACCACACCTCCCTCGAGTGCCACTGAAGCTGGAGTGGGCTGGGAAGGCAGAGCACTGAGGCAGCAGCTCTGCAGCCTGCTCCAGCTGCCTGTGTCACAGCCAGCATTCCCAGGCCATTGGCTGCAGCTCCTGCCTCCCTGCACGCTCTGCTGCAGGGATCCGGGGGGTTTGGGCTGATTCCAGGCTCGTTCCACACCCCCATCACACCCCTTCGCTCCAAGTGTTATCACAAATGCCTGGATACGGCGTGACTCAAGACTGACAAAGCTGAATTCCAGAGGCCTCCATGCTCCACCACAGCCCATTTGCCTGCAGCAGCAATGGTTTTGGAAAGCCCAAACGGCCAAACACGATCAGGAGCAGCAGGAACTGAGGGTACAAGGGATTTGGAGCTACCAGGAATGGCCTGGGCTCCTGACACCTGCTCCTCTGGTGACACAGCTAATTTGAGACTCTTCTATCCTCCCCCAAAAAGCATCTGAGCCCATTTCAGCCTAATTTCAGGGCTGCACTTCCAGCCCTATTGATTTTTCAGAGAGCTGGCAGAGGCCATAAATTAAAGCCCTCCCCCAGGGAATGCAGCAGTTTCTCCTGATCCAAAGGCACGCRTGGCTGGAGCCACAATTGTTCTTTTTGCTCCTTCCCAACCTGTACACCCCAACTCCACCTGCACTCCAGCCAAATCCTGGCCTGACGCTGCCCCCAGGAACCCACAAGGGGAATGGAGACTTGGGAGAGCCAGAGCCAGGGGTGAGGTGCTCCATTCCCATATGGAAGCGGAGCAAGGACTCACAGCTCACTCTGCTGGAGGCTGAGGAGGACTCCCKCGCCGCTGCCTTCTTGGCCATGACCCTGCTGATGGATCTCCTGATCATGTTCTCCCTCTTGGCGGCCAGCGAGCATTTTTTCACCAGGGAAACCCTACGGCTCCTGCGGGGGGCATCCATCCCGCTCCGGCGGCGCGTCCTGGATTTCTCTGTCGCGCTTTTGCTGGGGGAGTTCTGGACGAGCAGGGYCTCGAGGCCTGGAGGAGCTCCATCTCCTTGGAGCGTGGCAGGATCACCATTTGGAGAGGTCTTGGGYGTGGAGGTGCTGGCTCTCCTGGGATCCTGCTCCTCATCCCTTCCTGGCTGTTCAGCCAGGATCCCAGTGACACCAGGGACCTCCTGCAGCTCGGCCACTGCATCCGCCTCAGGTGGCTGCTCCCCCAAAACTGCAGGAGAGGCTGCATCACCCCTAGCAGCACCCTGAGGACACTCCTGGCGATCCAGGTCTGCCACAGGAACACCTGCTTCCACAGGCTGCTTCCCAGGGAGAGCTGGGAGCTGGGGTGTGATGCCAGCTGGAGATCCCGGAGCGCAGCCAGGCACAGRCACCTCCTGCCCCTCACAGACATGGCTCCGGGGCTGCTGGGAATTCAGACTGGAAGGCACCGGCTTGACACCGCTCCTCCTGCGGGATAACCTTAAAGGAAAAGAATTTTGAAGGAAGTGGTGAAGTCTGATCCCAAATAAGTTTTAGATGGTGTTAAAGWGAAGTTGCTGCTGTCTTCTCCACTCCACCATTCCCCCTCACAGCCCATCCTATCCCTGGGGAGAGGCACACTGGCACAGCTCAGGCTGGGTATCCAGAGTGAAATGAGGAGAGGAGCACCCATGGCCCTACACCAAGAGCTGGGATTAAACCCCACCCTGGAAGCAGGGCAGGGGAACACACGGTGCATCACCTTCTTGCTGACTGGCCTGGCTGCATCAGCACACCTTCCCAAACCAAGTCTGACTGAGGGAAAACACAAACAGGAGTTTTCTTCTCTTGGGGAACAGCTCAGCAGTGACCTTGAGCACCCAGAGCAGGGCTGAGAGCTGTCCCTGCTCTGATCCACAGCGCTGCTTCTTCAGCCCTCCCTCACACACACACACACACACACACACACACACCTCCCACACTTCTGCTGCTTTCCCCACCCTCCACATCTGCTTCCTGACAATCTCCCAGCTCTAACTCTTCCTCCTGTGAGCTTTTCAGCACCCTTAGCACAATTGTAGTGCCCTAACACACCAACAGATGAAGTTTGGGCAACTTTAAAAGTGTGGTGGGTTCTAAGCAAATCACTTGGAATTGCYACTTCAGCCACTTGATAACCCCATGGAGCCTCCCTGCCTGCCAGCTTCTGAGAGCACATCCCATTCCCAGGTTTTCCAGGCACTGACACTGAGGTTTAGGGAGTGAACATCAGGAGTAGCAACCTCAGGCCAAAAGCCAAATCCAAGGAGACAAAACCCAAATCCAAACAGACAAGAAAATAACAGTGCTTAACTCTGTAAGGTGAAGGATAGCAGCCAACTTTATCTCAAACTCTCACCAGAATCCAAACAGTACCAATGTGCCCCTTTRCTAACTCAGGGAATGCAAGCAGTGTTTTATTTCACCCCAACACCATGAGGCAGARCCAAAGCAAGCTGACACACCTACCTCCTCCTGCTCAGCTCCTTGTTCTCTTCCTTCAGCCAGGACGACTGCCTTTTCCTGGGCTTCCTCCTCTGCGATGGCGTTTTGGGCAAGAGCATGGGCTCATCCCTGAAGCTGCTGTGGAGCAGAAGAGGCAGAGCACAGATTGCTTCCCCCACTGGCCACATCAACCCTCCCAAAACAAGGGAAGGATGGGGCCCAAACCCACSCCGAGCTGGGAGCTCAGGTGGGCACAGAGGGGTCTCCTCAGGGCAGCCCCTACCTCTCAAGCATCCTCATGCCCTGCTCCTCCACCTCCCGCAGCCAGGCCAGGTGCTTGTGCCGGGCGTCATGGAGRAAGCGGGACAGCCTCTGCCCGCACACTTCCAGCAGCAGCTGGGGACCCTCCGCCATTGCTTTGCCTGGAACACAGAGGGAYGGGATAATGCTGGTGAGCACCCAATGCGGGAAAGAGGAATGCAGGCACCAGGGTGCTCCTGGGCATGGGGRAATTGTGAAGATAGGCCRGGGCACAGGTTCTGAGGGACCCCTCCCAGGTATGCTCCACACCGCTCGCTCGCCGCCCGCCCCGAGCCGCCGCCTCGCCCGCTCACCACACCCTCACAGCACAGCCCTGCCCTTCCCGCCCCGAAGTTATCCCCGGCTTTCGCCAATCACAGGGCGCACCTCCCAATCCCCAGTCTCTTATTGGTTCTAGAGCCTGTCCATCATCCGCCAGCTATTCAATTGAGCAGCCCATGGGCCCGCCCCCTCAAGCCCCGCCTTCCGAGCCGAGTCCTCCAAGAGCATAGAGAAGGGAGAGCAGAGCGGCGCCGAGAGCGAGCCCTTCCCCCGACAGCCAATGGCGTGGGCGGGCCAGGAGAGGCGGCGGGCGGTGATTGGCTGCTGCGGGCACGGCCGCTGGTGATTGGCTGCCGCGGGGGCTGGTGCCGCGTTTGAACGGCGGGCAGCGCGCGCGCGGCCGTTGATGCTGAAGCGATGGCGGCGAAGGGGCCCGCGGCGGCGATGGGGGCCGCGGCGTGTTTGCTGGACTTGCCCGCAGAGTGCGACCGGCGTCTGGCCCAGTTCCTGCGGCAGGTGGATGAGACAGATATGCTGTGGCTGGATGAGATCTGTGAGGAGGCGGTCAGGATGTTTGTCAGGTACTCGCACCCCGCTCCCTGCTAGGCCCCGGCCCGTACCGGCCGCCCTCCGCGCTGATGCCTCTTGATCTCCCCTTCTTCTCTAGCGACTACAACGAGGAGCTCGAACTGATGCCCAAGACACCGTCACAGAAGAAACGGCAGCGGAGGAAGCGGCCGTCGGTCGTGCAGAAAGAAGAGCAGGAGTCCGGCAGGAAGCGGTGAGGGGCGGCGGGAACGGGATCGGGGAGTCCCGTTTGGGACGGGCCGCGGAAAGGGGGAGCGCAGAGGGTGCCATCGGGGCTYGGAGAAGGGAGGGAGCCCGTGGGAGGCTGAACAGACTTGCTGCCAAGGGTTCAGGGGAACAGTCCCCTCCACGGAGGGTGTCCTGGCGATCCTCTCGTTTGTCCAATGGGTGGTCCCTTTCCTTCGACCCGCGAGTCCSCCCGGTGTTCAAGGTTCATTCATACACTGTGCCTTGGAGCACTCTCGTTCTTGTGGTCGAAAAAAATCGGATTTTGATGCTACGAGAAATGCTTTTATTTGTTACCTGATTCTGTGTTCCCGTGTTTCTGTTATTTTTCTGATTTAAAGTCATTACTCCRTTAATTACTCTCTGCATTAGCTGCTCTGTGCAAATGTGTCTCCGGGGCCCATCCCAGGTGTTTTGGCTCTGTTCCTATGCATGCATGAAGGACTCCAGGCTGTTCCCGACTCGTGTTCCCATCTAACACACTGTTCCTGTGATCAGGCTCTGCGGGAGGAGGAGCAGCAGCCTCAARCTGGTGGCTTCTGTGCGATATTCTCAGCGACTCCGGAACAAAAAAAACCTGGAACTCAGCAGGGCTGAGGCCAAAGAAGACTCTCCACCACAGCGTGTGACACGATCCCGGGCTACAGCCTCTGCTAGAAACCCCAAGGTGGTTCCTGAGACCCCTCCTGCCCCACAGGCAGCAGAGAAAGATCCCTGGGTGGAAGCTGACCACACTGACACCGCTGAGCCTCTCCGGAGGAGTGGAGTGGAGCTGGCAGAGGTGCTCCCCACGAGCTTGGGGAATGGCTCTCCCAAGGAGCGTGATGTTCCCAAATCRCCGCTGGTGCCCACAGTCCCTGAGCTGGTGGTGCCCTGTACTCCCGAGGCCAGCCAGGCTGTACCCAAGCTGCAGACAGCAAAGGCGGCCAATGTCACCATCACCCTGAGCACAGAGGCTGAGCTGGAGGAGGAGGATGGCTCCCCTCAGGAACACAACCGGACCAAAGAGCCCTCCCAGCCCCTGAGGGACAGCCCGGGGACTCCGACTGGCAGCCGGCGCAGCCGCCGCTCTGTGCGCCGGAGCCTGATCGGGAAAACCTCCCTGAGCCGCAGAACCTCCCTGGCAGAGAAATACTCCCTGGCCAGCAAGAGGGAGAGCATGGTCCGGACATCCATCGCTAAGGCAGCAAGCAAGAAAGCGGCGGCTCGGAAGAGAACCGTGTCCTCCAGCTCCATGGATGGTGAGTTTGGGTGTCCCCAGGGGGTTGTGCCGCTTTCTGCTGCAGAGGAAAGCAAAGTGCTGGGGCTGGGTCTTCAGTGTGGGGGTAGCWGATGAGCTTCCCGGGCTAGACAGGCTGCAATCCCTCACAGAAGTTCTCCTTGGCTTTCTGGAGCCCCCTGTCAGCAGAGAAACCCAGGTAACTGAATTCAGCCTTGTAAATCACCTGGGAGAACAGCCTCAGTGAGTCCATTTCAATTTAGTTTTAAGCTGGTGATTTGCTGTGAGTTGTTAAACCTGGAATCGCAGGACAGTTTGGTTTGAAAAGACCAGTTCCACGCTCTGCCCTKGGCAGGGACACCTTCCACTAGCCCACGTTGCTCCAAGCTCCATCCARYCTGGCCTTGGACACTTTCTGGGAKGAGTCAGCTTCTCTGGTCACCTGGTCTTTCCAGTTTGTGTGAGGACAGCTGGCAAAGCTGAAAAGGGTTTGGGAATCCAAAAGGGTTGATGGATTCTCCCAAAGCCTTGCCTGTTTCCTGKAAGGTGAAATTCCCACAAATTCTCTTAGCAGGATCTGGCTGCTGGTTTTAGAGTTTGTTTGAGAAGGGAATTTTGAGGCTGAACTTTGTAAATTAAAGCTCTCCTACACTTTTACATTTGATGATAGAGGCAAGTTTAGGGAAGAACAGTCTGATCTAAACTGCTTGAATTCTTAAACGAGAAAGCTAAAGAGGGACACTTAATCAGCAACTGGAGTGACTGGATGAGGGGAAATAGGTTCAAACTGAGCAAGGGGAAATTAGATGGGGTGTATGAAAGGAATTTTTGCATTTGAGGGTGGCGAGGTCATGGCATGGGTTGATGTGGCTGCCCCAYCCCTGGAAGTGTCCAAGGCCAGGTTGGACAGGGCCTGGAGCAACCTGGGCTAGTRCRAGGTGTYCCTGTGCAGAGGCAGGGGGTGGGWCTGGATGRTCTTTAAGGTCCYTTCCCACCCCAASCAGTCTGTGATTGCTGCAATGGTTGTTCATGGCAGGTTCCAGCTGTGTCAGAACTTCTGAGCTCACTGCAGCAGAGCCAGCTGGAATGCAGGCTCGAGAAGCTGCACTGCTGTAAATAATGCTGGCTCTAACTGCTGTTAATATCCAGTCCAGGCCCTGCAGATAAGCCCAAGGCCAAGCCCAGCGCCATTAATGCCAGCTTGTGGAATATCGCCCTGAGCTCATCTATAATTGAAAACTGCTTTCCTGCACCAGAAGTGCCGGCTGCATTCCTGCAGTGCCACCTGGGTGTATTCCCGTGCCCCCAGGGCAGGATAAGCCCCTCTGCTTAAGTATCTGGAGATCCTTAYCCCACCAGATCCCTGGCCTGCACCCCAACCTCATAGCTCACATGTGTTTTTTCCTCTTCCACAGCCTCAAGCTCCACAAGTGTGCCAGAAAATGAGGAAACGGTTGTCAAAACCGGGTGAGAATGCTTTCACTTATTTATTTATCCTCACTACCTTGCTTGTAAGATTTTTCACTGCCATTCTTGGTGTAAAATCCAAGTGGCTTCCCAGTTTCCTCAGTGTAGCTAAGCATGGACTCTTTTTCTTTTTCCTCTAGGCCTCTTCCTGAACCTTCCACCCCCTCCAAGCTGGTAAGGTTTGGGCAGGGGTTGAAAGCATTTGTGTCTGTGTAGATTTGGGAGGGAAATGTGTGGAATACACCTTTTAGGGAAATTTGGGAGCTGTGGCTATGGATTGCCAGACTTTGCCTACCTGTTCCATAGCAGTGAGTGAGGAAGTCACAGAGCATCTGGCTCAGAGGTGCATGAGYCCATCCACAGCCTCTCTGGTTCTGGTACTCAGACTAGGGAAAGTCTTAATCAAACATTCCAGAACCAGCAAAACCAAAAGCAGCAGTTTTCTTTGGGAAATGAGCATGTATGACTCAAGGCTTTGGGTGCAGGTCGAGGTGTTCTGTCAGAAGGGTGTTACAGTCTTGGATGCTTTCCAGGATTCCTTGGCTAAAAGACAGCCTTTCCTCTGTCATTTTCCTAAATCTGTTSAAATTGTTGCACACCACCGTGAGCCTGACCTCAGGGTTGAGTCCTTCTTGGCTCTTCCTTCTTAACCACTTGCTAGAGATCATTAAGTGAAGATTCAGTCCCCAGTCTCTACAGATAAAAAAAAACCTTATGCTTCAGGGAAGTTTGGTTCAGCTGGTTGTACATGGTTTGTACATTGTATTTTTAAAGCTTCTTTTGACCTTTTGGTCAATCCTGCAGGTCATTCAGCTCTTGTTAGTTTGGACAGACACCATTATATTGTGAATATTATTCAGGTCAACACCTTTCTCCCCACAGTCCTCTCTGAGGAAGTAATCCTAGATCATGTCAGTGTTTTGTCCAGAATAAATTTCAATGAGCAGAGCCTGAATTGATGGAACAGAGCAGTGGCCTGAAGCACTTGTGAAAACAAGGAGAGTTGTTATGGCTGTGCAGAAACTCCAAAAAAAGCAGTTTTTCTAGACCCTGCAGATGCAATTGGGGAAGATGAAATCTCCATCAATCTCTTTTCTTCTCTTCCCAATGCAGCACTGTGAAGTGCTGACCAGGAGGTAATGCTGGTGCTGCTAGCAGAGAGCAATTCCAGAACCACAGCCCATTATCCCAGCGGAGCGTGCCCCAGCCTAAGTGCAGAGGCAGCGAGCAGCGATGGGTATCCCATAACAAACAGATAAATCATGGAAATGAGCCATTTATCCGCTGTCTCCAGGCTCCCCATTCATCACTGCTCGGGGAAATGGGCACTCTGGCTCTGGAYGGAGCTCTGGCAGCACAGATTTACAGCTTGGAAAGCTCCTGGCCTTAATAGTTGATGAGCTGGTTGAGTTTAAGCAGCRCAGATGCGTGTTAATGCCCGTGCCTCTCCTGATGATGCAGCATCCAGGGCTTTGCCAAGAGGTGGTTTGGCATTCCCTGGTAATGCTGCTGACCGTACCCTGGTCAGAACCACCCCATGATCTGAACCAGGAACAGGCCATTTCTATGTGGAATTGTCCTGAACCTGCTTGCTTTTCCCCAGGATGTCCAAAGCCGTCGGATGTCCCTTCGCTCCCACACAGCCAGCAAACATGGGCAGCCCCAGGAGCCAAGCAGCAGTGGTAATTCCAGAAGAGTTTGGGGCAGGACTTTGGGAAGTTATCGTTTTGGGAGGCTGTCTGGGAAGCTGGAAAAATTGACTGGTTAATTTGAGAGCTCAGTTTGAAAGATTAATTAATGTTTGATGAGCAGGGATTTGTTTCATACAATTAGCAGTGAGAAAACTGTGCTGGAGTTATTTCCATCCTGGCAAGCACATAAGAGATGGATATAATGAGGCTGGAGGGTTGTGGGAGGTGCAACTGAGCTCTATTGCTGAAGCTGTGCAGAACACAGCTTTGGGCTGTGCTTTGTCTGGAGTTTCCAGGTGGGAATGGTGCCATGTGAGCCAGGTCCTGCTGTGCCTGGTTTTGCTGTTCACTGAGCTGCTTCATCTGTTCTCTGCTGTCAAACCTGTGTTGGAGGGGATTTTTTTCTGCTGGAACTCACTGTGTAACTGTTCTTTTTTTCAGAAAACAACTTAAATAGGAATGGAGAGACCCTAGATCCACCCCAGAGTGCCAGGTATGCCCTGGTTGGAGATCTTTTGTTGGGGGCTGTTGTCCCATGCCAAACAGGTTCAGTGCTGGAACATTGTTCACTGGCCTCAGTGTTTGTGACCATGAAACTTTTGCAAATAAGTTTTCCTCCATGATTCTATTATTTAATTGGCATTTTCTTCTGTATTAGGATTTTTTTTTATTGGCTGTGTGTGCAGGATCTAAGAATCACAGACTGGTTTGAGTTGGAAGGGTCCTTAAAGTCCCACCCCCTGCTCTGGGCAGGGAGACCTTGCACTAGGCCAGGCTGCTCCAAGCCCCGTCCAACCTGGCCTTGGACACTTCCAGGAATGGGGCAGCCACAGCTTCTCTAGGCAGCATTGGAATCTCTTAATCCCAAGATAGTTTTATGGCCCTTTCCCTTTCCTCATGACTTGGGAGGCATGAGGAGGATTTGCCYGGTGTGATGGGCTGTGCTGTCTCACAGGAGGAAGCCAAGCTACAAGAGAGCCGTGGACGAGCGCTATGACCACCAGCAGGCAGAGGAGGGAGGGCTGTCTCCTCTCAGGAGGAAGACTCCATCCCCAGTCCTCCCAGCCAGCAAGGTGAGATCCTTGTAAGCCTGGGAAAGCCTCACCAAGACCCGTTTTTTACTYACCCCCCACACTCACACTGTGGTGCTGCTCCCACAGGTGGTGCGCCCGTTCAAAACGTTCCTGCACACCGTGCAGAAGAATCAGCTCCTCATGACACCAAGCTCTGTGGGGAGGAATGGAGTCATCAAATCCTTCATCAGGTACAACACCCCTCTCCAGGCTGATCCCAAGGTAAGAGGAGGCTCTGCTCTAAGCCAGTACAAAGTGCTTTAAGTACCTAACATGAAAGGAGCTTTGCAGCCCATTTGAAACAAAGTGATTTGAAGTGGTGTGTTTACACTTAAATAAAATTTGGGTTAATCAGCTTCCTAAAGAATTCCAGTTTGAACTCCAGACTTCATACCTGCATCGTTAATTCCCCTATAGCTGTCTAGAACCAGCTCTCAAATCCCTCTCTCCCAAACTGTTATTGGAAATAACAGTCAGGGATGAAAAATGGAAAAAAAAAATCTAGGGTATTGTGAATGTTGAGTTGTATTGATAACTGCAGCATGTACATTCCAGCTCTCCTTCCTAGGGCTCACRAGTGAGGTTGAGCTAATAGCTCTTAAATCCCAACTTTGGAGGTTTTCYGAACCCTTCAGGCAGAAGGAAACACAAGGCTGTCTTGTGTGTGGGACTAGTCAGACAACAGCTGGTGTCCCAAATCAAGCAGGCATCAGTATCACCTTGGCTGGCTGTGGACAGGTGCTTCTGCACTACCCCAGGAAGTTTTCCAAGGCCCTCTTTTTCCAAGCCAGGAGCAGTTTRGGAGAGAGGGATTTGAAAGCTGGTTCTAGACAAGAGTGGAGCTTCCTGGATTCACTCAGAGCCGTGCTGGAAGCTGTGTGCCAAGCAGGAATTGCTCATACTCTCAATACCCAACAACTCACCTGCAAAGTAGACAGCTCTGGTGCTGGTTTTTTCCTTGCAGGAGAGCTGAGATGGATAAAGAGGAGGGCAGGGTGCAGGAATTGCTGTTGCTGCATCTAGCAGCCTAATAGGACAGCTTCCTAGAGCTGTGCTCAGAGCCTGGCTGTGCTCCAGCAGGTCAGGGAAGGCCTTTGGGAAGCAGTGAAGGATTCCAGCTTCAATCTTGTTGGGCCCCAGCTGATGTTAGTGTATGTAGCACAAAGGAGTTAATAGGATGAGAAAAGAGTCTTGTGGCTAGGGAGTGCTTCCTCTGCTGCTGTCAGTTCATGGAATGTTTTAGATTTCATTCCAGTGCAGGCAGCTCCCCCTCGGGAGCTTTTCCATGTGGGAGCTAAACATAACTAARTAGCAGCAGAGCAATAAGATATAATTGTTAGTTTTATATTAACCAGTTTGGATGCTGACAGCACCAAGCGTTTACAGCACAGAGCCCAGTGTAAGGGAATCCCTTGGATAATCCCCATGCTGGTCTGTGGTTTTGTGCTGTGACCAGGCCTGCTCTGATATGGAGTGGGTTGATACTAATCCATTTGCTGTGGTTGTAGTGGTGGCTGGATCTTGCTCCCCTGTCTGACAGTATGCCTCAGCTGGGTCAGGAAAACAAGGAGAAAGCCCCTGTTTCTGGCTGGCACACGGAGCTGGCTGCGTGCCGGAGCAAGCTGGGAGCTCTCGGAGTGCTGGTGGTTCACCACCAGATAGAGCCTCGTGGGAGGCACAGGCGCCAGCGGGAGCTCAAGGTGTTTCCTGGAGCACCATCTGTCCCCGCGCTCGCCGCAGGAAGCGGGAGCYGTGCCAGGCATTAGCGCTGCTTGGTGGCTCCTTTGCACCAAGAGAAAGCACGAGGCTGGCTGCCTGCATTCCCTGAGGATGCTGCCTGGGCTCCCAGAGCTGATGCTTCTGTTTCAGCACCCCAGCTTCCCCTCTTGCTCCACAAGATTCACACCACTGTTTTCCCTGCACATACCCGTTCATGACCAGGTCACAGGCTGCCCTAGCTCTGCTCCAGGGCTGTCACCATGCCATTTTCCTGCCTGCAGCTCCTTGCTGTCACCTCTGGGCTCTTGTCCAGAGCAGGTGAAGTGAGAAGGAGCCCTGGCCAGTGGGTACAATGACATTTCAATTCCCCTCAGGAAAAGGAGAGGCAGAAGCTAGAGACTCTGCGGAAAAAGCAAGAAGCTGAGCAGCTGAGAAGGCAAAAGCTGGAGGAGGAGAAGAAACGGCGACTTGAAGAGGCAAAGCTGTGAGTAGATGTGGTCATGCTGCTCTTGGCACCTGTAGGTTTCTGTGTCCAGGTGTTTTATCTTGCAGGGCTTGTGCAAGCAGCAGAAATTCCTGTAGGCACAGGCAGTGTTTCTCCTTGGGGTATCTCTGGAATGCTGATACAAAGCATTGACTGTCTTTGCCACCCACTGCTGCGTCTTTATGTCTTGAGTCCTCCCTTTCTGACAGAGCTTAAATATGGCTGGTGCTTAAAGGAATGGGGAATTTGGGCCATTGAATTTCCTGCTGTGTCTTTTTGGCCTTGTGCTGAGCTGGGGGATGCTCACCTGGCTGGAACACGATGGTGAGCTGGGCTGTGTCCTCAGGAAGCGCGAGGAGCGCCAGCGCAAAGCGCTGCAAGCCCGGGAGCGGGTGGAGGAGATCGAGAAGGAGAGGAAGAGGAGGATTGAGCAGAAGATTGCACTGTTTGATGAGAAGACCGAGAAGGTACAACCCCTGCAGAGCCTATTTGGGACAGTCACTAGTCACTGAGGTAGTTGGTACCACACAAATGTGCTCTGTGGAAAGAGGGGCGTGGAGGCTGCTTTCTGCATTCTAGAAGCTGAACCAGAGAATAGTTTAATAAAGAACTTTCCAGAGCCCTGGTGATCCTGAGGGACTGCCTTTCTCTGGCTACAGCAAATGGCAGCTGAACCCCTGTTTTCCATAATCATGAACCTAAATGGGCTTTATTAATGCTGTGGTAGATGGGAGAAGGACTTGCAGTAGATAAAGGCGGCCTAATGGTCCCAAGGCTTTATCTGCTGCTTATCCTATCTGAGTAATAGCTGGACAGGGGAAAACAAACATCCTTCCTCCAGAACCTTCCTCAGATCCCAGACTTCCAGGCAATTTGTGCAGTGGCCTAGTGGTCATTTGTCTGCTTTAATTATCCCCAGCTGCCTGTCTGATTGCATGGCTCTGAGGTTCTATTCCAATGGCTTTGTGGGACTGGATGTGTAAACCCCAGGATGGGGTCAGCTCTTCCCAGAGGGCTGTAAAACAAGGTCATTGCCCTAAATATGACCTTTTTAAAACAGAGTGCAGGTCCCCTGGTTCCTGGGGGGAAAAGGAGGGAGGGCTCTGTCTGTGAGATGTCCTGCTGTACTGTCTCTGTGAGATGTCCTGCTGTACTGTCCTACATGAGAGTGGGTCTGTGTGTGCTCCAGGTACGGGAAGAGAGGCTGGCAGAGGAGAAGATCAAGAAGAGAGTGGCTGCCAGGAAGATGGAGGAAGCTGAGGCCCGGCGCAGACAAGAAGAGGAGGCMAGGAGACAAAGAGCTCTGCAGCAGGTGTGTGTGGGGGCCCATCCTGTCCTGCAGGCAGAACTGGACAGGGGATCCACCTGCCTTGGGCACTGAGAATTTACTCCCAAAGTGTTTCCCTGCCAKGTAGCAATGGGGATTTGGGCAAAGTGAGGGGTTCCTGGTGCTGTCATCTGGAGCCTGCTCCTGTCAGGTGAGTAACTCTTGCCTGACCTTACAGGAGGAGGAGGAGGAGCGGCGGCACCGGGAGCTGATGCAGAAGAAGAGAGAAGAGGAGCAGGAGCGTGCCAARAAGATGGCTGAGCAGAGGCAGGCAGAACAGGAGCGGGAGAGACAGCTGGCTGCAGAGAGAGARCTGGAAAGGAAGAGGGAGCAGGAACGGATCCAGGCAGAAAAGTAAGGCAGCAAAATCCTGTTTATATACCAAATTCTGGGATTGAAATGCAGCCGGARCAGAGGGCAGCAGTGGAAGGCTGGAGCAGTGGGGAGCTGCTGKGACCTGGCAGTGCCGTGGACTGTTGCTTGTGCTGAGTTACCAGGGAGGAATTCTGGGCTCCAGGATGTTGGGAATGTGGTGGGGGGTTCCTGAAGAGCTGTGAGGGAGKGGGGGTTGCTGCAGGCAGTGGTGGGGGGCCCTGGTGTGGTTCCCTGGTGTGGTTCTGGGAGTGAGGGCCTGTGCTGTGGTTCCCAGGCTCCGGGAGCAGCAGAACGCTGCCCGCCTGCAGAAGGAAGCAGAGGCTGCGAAGGAGCGGCTCCGTAGGGAGAGGGAGAAGGAGAAGGAGGTAAGTGATTGATTTTGGAGCCACACAGTCTGGCCTCAGCGGCTGTTGCTGTTRAAACAGCTCAGCTGGGACACTGGGGAGCCCTGAGGAGCTACTGTGGCATTTCTGAGAAAGAAGCTGGACCTGTTTGGGATGGTTATGGTACTGGGGGGTGACTTGGCCTCTAAAAATACTGTTTACTGGTCTAGAAAGAGGCCAAGGTCAGTAGCACACAGTTCTGCTTTCTGGCTTTTATAGCCCCAAGATAAAGTCAGTAGAATTTTTTTCAAGGCAGGAGGCCCTGGCTTTGTCAGGGAAAGGCAGCTGATGCTGTTACATGGGGGGTCAGTGAGTTTGTCCCCTCTGAGGAAGCTGCACCATGTCCCAAGTGCTCCTCAGCAATACGAGGAACAGCTGTAATTATGTGCTTGGATATTTTGCCTGTCACAAAGATGGATGGCTGGGTTGAGAGCATGGTCCCTAAGGGTAATGCTGTGGGTGTCACTTGGTAGCGGGAGCAGCAGATGCTGGCAGAGAAGAAGAGGCAGGAGGAAGAGCAGAAGAAACTGTCAGAGGAGCAAAAAGCCAAAGAAAACGCCCGGGGACCACTCCTGGAGAACAAGGAGGTAACTGGGGATGGGTCCTTAGGGGTGACAGCAGAGCTCAGTCCCAGTACTGACCCACTCCTACCTTGYGCAGTTTGACCCTCTGCCTTTATCTGCCTTTCCAGGAGCATGGGAGTTCTGTAAATCCTGGTTATTTGGGGTTGACTCCACGAATATTTCAATGACAGAGTGGAGCAAGAGGGATTGGACAGGGTTTCTGGCTGTGAATAAGACTGCAGCTGTTGGAGCTGTGTTAAGTGCCTCTTTAATACGGGGAAGACCTCAGGACAGAGAAGTGCCTGAAGTTTTAWTTCGGATCAAATTTGGGAACAGCCACAAGGTGGCAGGAGAGCATGTGGAGCGGTGTCGGTTGGGAACGGGGGAATAGTGCAGGTGYCTGTTGGCGTCCTGAACAGTGAGAACAAACCCGTGGCTCTTGTCTCCTTGCAAAGCTCGGAATCTTAAAGTGCAGAACTGCTGCRTGGGAGTTATTGTCACTGGATAAACAGCCATGAAGGGTGACTGGTGGGGAAGAACAACTGTCCAACCCATTTCCTGATTGAAAATTGAATTTCTACTGAAAATTTCCAATTGAAAAACCTGAAATTCACTGTAGTTGTAGGTTGTCTTCTGCCCTTACAATTCCTGCGTATGCCACTCCCATCAGCTTGGTTTGGCTGACCTGGTGGGCAGGTTCTCTGAATGGGAATTAGTAGTTTTATATCATTAATCAAGCTTTAAGTTGGGTTGCAGGGTAATTAGAGCRTGTGACTGTTGCAGTGACATAAAACCTCCATTTAACCCTTGTCTGACTTGAGTGAAGCTGATGATCTATTAGACCCRTTAGATCCATCTATTGCTGTGTGCTCGTGCCACAGATGGCAAATTAATCAGCCTAATCAAACAGGAGAAGGCCATGCACAGCCATGATTGAGTCACAGCTTTGGAACTTGGATCAAGCTCTCGGGTCTCCAAACTTGAGAGCTGCCAGACTCAGGGTCTGCCATGAGGGGACAGAGCAGGAGACATGGAACGAGCCGGTGCCACTGTAGCTCGGAGGTGGTGGTGTTGCTGCATCCAACACCTGTGGAATGTGTTTCCCTTCTAGAATTCCCCRGTCTGCAACTCATATGAGATGACTCCTCAGAGCAGGAAGGATTTCAAGCCGGCTGTGACAAACTCGAACGACTACGGGATGGACCTGAACAGCGACGACTCGACGGATGACGARAGCCAGCCACGCAAGCCTGTCCCTGCCTGGGCCACTGGTATGTGTTTGGGGGGGACACYTGTGGCTCTGGGAGCTGCTGTGGGGTTCTGCTCAGCTCCTCCAGCCTGGAGGAATTACAAGGACTCCAGCACGGAGTACTCACTTCTGAGTCCACAGCTGGACAGGAGCTTGGAGCAACCCAATTTAGTGGAAGATGTCCCTGCCCATGGCAGGGGGTTGGAACCGGATGGGCTTTAAAATTCCTTTCCAACCCAAACCATTCCGTGATTCTTTGTGGAATGTGGAGTCAGGGGTCCTCTGCCAGTTGGGAATCTTGTCACAACATGATGGGGAGCAAATACTCTGCTAAGCTGCCTTGGAATGACGAGAGAGCAGAGTGGGGACATGCCATGTACAACAGCCTACACAGCAATCCCAATTAGCAAAATTAATACAATCCTCATCTGTTCCCACAGGGAATGAGCTCAGCCAGGCTGTGATCCGGCAGTACTACAACCCCCCTGACGTGGAYGCGCTGTTTGGGGCCATCCCCAGCCCCAAGCTCGAGGATATCTTCTACAAGARCAAACCCCGCTACTTCAAGCGCACGAGCTCRGCCGTGTGGCACTCCCCGCCCACCGTGGGAGCCAAGCCGGCCCTGGGGCTGCCCTCTGGCCTCAAGAAGCCCTGAGATGAGGACAGGTGTACAGCAGRTGTTCCTTCCTGTTTCCAGGTGAGGAAGGAGTCACTCTTCATTTTARGTATTTAGGTTCTAGAGTTGAATAAATGGGAGCTCTTCCTGGGCTCCTGTGCCTCAGTTTGTGGGGCTGGTTTCAGTCAGGCCAATCCACGAGGAACTGTCCTGGGAAGTGCCTCTCTCTTACCCTTAGCTTGGAGCCAGCATGGACTCAGACCTTCAGTGGGTGACGGGTGTCACCTGAAGCTGTGGGATCCTCCCTCTCYGCCACGCACGCCTGGCAGTACCCTCGGTCAGTTGTACGTCTGTGTTGCCCTCAGGGCTGGTGACAGCCAGGGACAGGGACCAGTAGCAGGGCACAGTCTGGCCTGCTCACAGCTCTTCTCAGGAAGGCCTTCCCAGGTGTGCTCATCTCCTGCAATCCCAAAGGGATTCATTGCTCCATTTTCCACCTGTGTGGTGGCATCCCTCAGCCGGGCACAGCTGGTGTTGGCACAGCTGGAACAAGGCTGGAACACACTAAAAGTGTCAGTGACCTGTCAGCTCTGGAGAGATGTGAGCACAGGTGTGACCATGTCCCCAAGGACCCACAAGTGTGTGAGCCAGCTCTGGGCCTYGATAGAAGAAACTCTGCAAGGGTTCTGGCACACTTTTGTTTCTCAGTGGAATTCCATCTCTGAGGCCAGATGGGATTGAGAGGATGTGTTTAACCTTYAATCCCTCTTGTTCACCTTTGGCTGTGGCACAGCATCAGCTCGTTGTGTCTCTTGGCATATTTAGCACTTCCTGTTCAGTGAGTCGCCRTTAACTGGACTCTGGCCAACCCAGTTCCACCAAACCAAAAATTCCAGCTCAACCTTCCCATTCCAGGAGCCCATGGTGGTTTAGTCATTCCTTCTGCACCCAGCCTTGTCCTGTAAAATCCCTGTAGAGACTGCTCTGTGTGAGGGGATGTGATCCTGTCTATCCGTAGCCAATGCACTGTTTGCCAGCAAATACTCTTCAAAAGATATGGGGTTTGTATTTAAATGCAGTGGTGTCTGTATTTGTGGGGTGTCTGTATTCTGGGGCTGCTCTGTATATCCAGATCTGTATCTGTGGAGAGTCTGTGCTTCTGGAGGTGCTCTGTAGATCAGGCCTGGCTGCTGCTCTCTGCACCCATGGGGTGCCTGTGTTCCCATGGCTATCCTGCGCATCCAGGTCTGTATTCGCGCGACCGCAATTTTTTGTACAGAAGTTTCTTATACAAAAGTTTCTTGTACAAAAGTTTCTTGTACAAAAGTTTCTGACACTGTTGGATAAAGTGATTTTAATCTGCTCTGGGCTCCTCATAGCATTTTTGTTAGAGAAATTGAGGGTTTGGAGTCTGTCCCTTTTGTGCCAATTCCTTGAGGCAGGAATGTCCTGTCTGGGGAGAACTCCTGAGATCAAATGGAAAATCTGTCCTTTGGGGTTCTCTAGCACTTTGTGGTACCCAGGAGGCTGTCGGTGCCTAATTTTTAAGATTTGGTACCYTCATATGGACATCTCTCAGTGCCCAGCCCCTGTCCCTGTACTGTCACCTCGGCTGCAGATGGGAGCCCCTCTGTGCAGGGCCAGCTCCCACCCCCCAGACACAGACAGGGACACAACACTCAGTTCAATTCACACATAATTTATTAGTGACAAAGGGGCTGTCTCCAGGCACGAGGGGATGTCACCAAGGTGGGGGGTTGGTATGGGTGGGGAGGCAGTGGGGAAGGGGGGTTTGAACAACATGGTGTGAGCCGGTGTGGGAACAGGGTGTCCTTGAGTGCTGCCACGTTGGGAGATACCCAAAGCATCCTTGTGCGCATGTGGGGTCTCAGGGTCCAGCTCTGTCCCCAGAGGTGTGGCACGTGTCTGTCCCTCATCCTACCCGCGCTCGCAGATGAGCTCCACAACGCTGTGCTCCATGGGGACGGGGTCAAGGCAGCGGTGGGCAGCACTGGCAGCCACCTCATCCAGCAGCCCCTGCACCACGCGCTCATCGGAGGCGAAGCGCCACAGGTAGAGCTGCAGGTAGTGCCCATCCACCTGCACCTGCTGCAGCCCRAAGCGCCCCAGCGTGCGCAGCCGCACGCACTCCAGCAGCGTCTTCAGGCTGATTTTGATGATCCCCGTCAGCACCGACACCTGCGTGAGGGGACAGTGGGGTCACATGGCACATGGGCACAGGGACGATGTCCACACAGGATATGGGGCTCCTTATCCTGGCTGCCACTCCCGGGAACTCCTGAGCATGGGGACATGTGGCACATGGACACCCCTTGGCCTGGTCACTACACACAGATCCTCCACTGCCCCCTGAGTTCTGACACCTAGGAGAGGGGACTCTGGGGACACCCTTGTCCTGGTCATAGCTCCCAGGGACATGGGGCAGTGGGAAGGTGGGCTGTTTGGGGCCTCTGGGGATGTTTAGGGACATGGSAATGTCCCCATGACCTCACCTTGTTGAACTCAACAGGGCTGAAGATGTCGATGCGCTCAGAGAAAAGCTTCTGGATGTTGCTGAGCAGGTGGGTGTCCATGGGGGCACTGAGGACAGGAACACAGGGACACTCAGAGACCTGACAGAGCCAGGGATGTGAGGACAGGGACACAGGGACCGCCAGRGGCCATGGAGATGGTCAGAGGACACAGGGATGGTTTGGGGAAAGATCGGCAGGGGAACATGAGGATAGTCAAAGGATATGGAGAGATGAGAAAACTGAGGAGCAGAAGGGCCATGGGGATCACCAGGGGATTCTGRGGCAGTTGTAAGGAACACAGGGATCATTGGGACAAACAGGGATCATCATTAGGACAGTCTGGGTTGTGAAGATAGTGGGAGGATATTGGGACAGTCTGTGATCATGAAGAGGATGACAGGGAAGATGCAGTGGATGCCGCAGTAAGAGGGAGCCCAGGGGTACTGGAGTGGCCCTGGTGGTGACACAGGAGGCCTGGGGGTGGCAGGGCTAACCTGGGGGTGTAGCTGGGGGCGTAGCGGCCGGGTGCCCGCGAGCTGCTGTAGACGGAGAAGGCTCGTCGGCTGGAATCGCTGCTCTGTGCTCGCCTCACCCCCTCCTCGAAGAGCTGCCCCACCTGCGTGCAGCACCACACATTCAGCACCCAAAACCCCCTCCAAGGACCCCCCCAAACCACAGAGCATCCCTCAAATCCCCTGCCACCCCCCCAGCTCCCTCCAGGGGTGTCCAACCCGCCCAGCCCCGGTGGCAGCCCRACCTGCACGTCGATGGCAGTGATGTCCTCCACCACGCGCTTCATGACGGCGCGCACGTTGCGGGGCTCCACGGTGCCCAGCCAGTCGCGCGTCTCCACGCTCTTGCGCAGCATCTGCGCCACGGCCGCKCCCTGCACCTGCACGTAGTGGTCCAGCAGCCGCTGTGCCGCTGCCCGCGCCTCYGCACACAGCGCCGGCCCCGGTGTCACCGCCGGCCCCGAGTCCTGGGGGACACACACGGGTGTGAGGAGCAGCCCTGCACCTCCCCCACAGCACTGTTACCACTGGGAGTACAAGGAGCGTGGGGACGCGTGGGGATGTCCCCCATGACTCTGAATCTGATGTGCTGGGGGCACAGGGACTCTGGGGACACGTGGGATGTGCTGGGCCACTCTGCCTGCAGCAGCATCACTGCCCCTCTCACATGTCCTTGGGGCTCCAGGGGCTCTTGGGACATGCAGAACCTCCTGGGGATATCTCAGGGACATTCAGGGTCCCCTTAGGGCCATTCAGGAGCTCACCTGGGGTGGGAACTGCTCATCGGTGAGGGTGAGGATGTAGCCAATGGTGGAGTTCTCATAGTCCAGGCAGAGGCGGGCGAGGAGCAGCAGCAGGGCAGGGGGGGCGGCAGGAGCTCCTCGCTCAGCCGGGCCGTCAGCAAAGCCGCGGGCAGTGCGGCACAGCCAGCGCACAAAGGCCACCACCAATCCCTCACGCACTGCTGTCACACAGAACTCCCCCTGTGCACAAACAGGGGGAGCGGTCACACCCTAAAACCCCGCAGACTGCCCTGTACAGGCTCCAAACYGCCCTGTGACCCCCACCCTGCCTTGTGCCACCTCCAGATTGCTCCACTGAGCCCCAAACAGCCCCTGGCCCCCTCARCCAGTGCCACCCCAGGTCACACCACTGCCCCCAGAGCACCCTACCCCGCGGTGCCYCACCTTGAAGTAGGGCAGGCTGGCGAAGGCGACGTCCCTGGCAGTGAAGAGCTGCACGTAGGCCAGCACGGCCTTGAGCTGGCCCAGCACGGAGGCGGCCAGCGTGGCCAGCAGGTCAGGCAGGCCGGGCCCCTCCTTGCCGGGGGGCCGAGGGGCCGCCAGCGCCTGGCGCACGTCGCCCAGGCAGCCCAGGAAGAAGGTCTGCAGGGCGCGCARGTAGCGGTCGACGCGCTCGCGGGCGGCGCGGGCCACCAGGGCGGCAGCAGCCTCAGCGCCCGCGGGCAGCAGCTCCAGCAGCGCGCGCAGCCGGCGGTGGAAGCGGTCGAGCGCCCGCACCAGCAGGGAGGTGTCGCCCAGGCCGCGCTCCAGCGCCAGCCGCCGCTCCAGCAGCGCAAAGTAGCGGGCGGCCAGTGTGGCGGCGAAGGGCTCCAGGCGCCCCGTGTCCCCGCCGAACAGCGTGCGGTACGAGCCGGCCAGCTGGCACAGCGTGCCCACGAAGGCCGAGCTGCCGCGGTCCACGAAGTCCAGGATGTCGGAGGCGGGCGGCGGTGGCGTGGTGGCAGCACCCGAGGGGTCGGCCGYGGGCAGCTCAGCCTCCAGCGCCGCCAGCTCGGCCTCGAGGCGCGCGCCCGCCTGGCTCAGGAACTCCTCGCTCAGCTCCTCGGGCGGCTCCTCCAGCTGCAGCAGCATCTCCACGCACTCGGTGAGCTCCTTGGGCTCCAGCGTCTCCTCCCTGGCARGTGGGACGGCCCGGGGTTAACGGCAGCACAGCAGGAAACGGAACAAGCGACAGAAGTCATGAGTAGGCTCCAGAGTGAACAGCCCCAAATCCTCATTTCCCAGCGCTGCCCTCGCAGGCTGCGGGCTGAACGCACCGGAGGCGTGTGCGGAGGCGCTGGGCCAGGTCGGCCATGATGGCGTGGCTCTCGTCCTCGATGGCGCGGAAGGAGGGCAGGTGGCGATAGTGGCGCAGCACGGCGCGGGCGCGGGCGTGGCAGCGCAGGGCTCTCGCGGGCTCCGTGCTCGCCCAGCGCCGCAGCCGCCCCGGCACCTCCACCAGCGCCTGCAGCTTCCGCAGCAGCGCCTGCACCCCTGCGGGGACAGGGGGTCAGGGCTGGGGCAGCACCGGGGAGGGGACGAGAGGGGAGCAGCACCTGGATCTGCCCTCCATGGGGGACACCCACCACCCACATCTGCCCCTCTGTCCCCACAAAATTTGTCCCCAGCCCCCAAATTTATCCCCATCCCAACCAATGGTCCCAGCCCCGCTGTGTACCGGCCAGCTGGGCGCCGCGGCGGTGCCGGTCCTGCAGCGCGGCGCTGACGCGGGCGCTCGAGGCGCTGATGGCCGCCATGTTGGCCGCCAGGTCGTCCATCTCGGCCTCCATGTGCCGGAAATCCACCTTCATCTTCCGGATGGTGTCTGGGGGGCAGGAGACACGTGCTGAGTCCCTTGGCTGCCCAGGACCCTCCCAGCCCACCCGAGATTAACACTCCACCACCACAACCCCCCAGGGAGGGCTGGCTGCTGAAGTCTCCAGGGTGAGCCCCCACACTGCCCAGGGCAGCTTCCCGGTACTGCCACAGCGACAATCCCCAAAGCCCCGTGTCCCGGCCCTGTCAGCAGCAGGGATCTCCTCACCGGTGGCTGAGATGAACTTGTTGTAGTTCTCGTAGAGCAGGGTCTGCATGTCACTGTCCAGGGCGCGGATCTCCCGCCCCAGCGCRGCCTCGCGGGCCAGCAGCTGCCCCAGGGGACACTCGCTGCGCACCTGGCGGGGCAACAGCTCCACATCTGCCCCTGCTCCCCCAGGAGCCGTCCCCCCGCCTCCCYCTCTCCCGAGTGCCCCCGGGTCCAGCTGCTCCAGAGCACCTCAGTCCATTCCCAAATAGAATCAGTGTCCCACAGGGTCTCTACAGAAGCATATCCACAAGCATGCACGAAGATGCCCTTTCTGGGGTCCCCTCGGGACACTGGAGGTCCGAAGGTTCTGGGGACTCTGGGGACCTCCCCCGCCAGGGTCGGGGGCACCCAAAGGGATCCCCCGTGACGTGGCCCGGCGGGGACCTCCCGGCACCTATCGAGGTCACCGGAGCCCCCGTCAAGGCGGGGATGCCCGCGGGAGGGGTGTCCTGAGGGGATCAAAAGTCACCTTGGTCATGAACACCTCCGGGTCGAAGTGGGGCCCGTTGATGTCGGTGGGGTCCGGGGCCGCCTCGGCTGCCTCGGCAGTGGATGGGCCATAGTAGCGCTGGAGCGGCCCGTGGGGACGCCGCCACCCGCCGCCCCCGGTGCTCCCGCCGGTGGCCTCGGGGCTGCCSCCGGCCCCGCTCCCCGCCCCGCTCCCCGCTGTCACCGCCGCCATCGCACCACCGCTTCCGCCCAGGCCGCCGCTTCCGGCCCTTCTCGCGCGTCACTTCCGGCGCGCCGGGCGGTTGCCATGGCGACGGGAAAGCGGCGGCAGCCGTGGCGGGGCCCGGTTACCGGGCCTGGAGCAGCCGCCACGGGGACGGAGCCGCCACGGCTCGTGTCCTGCKGCTCCCCGGGCTCAAAGATTCCAGWAAGAAAGCAGACATGGGTGGAGACACCAGCCCTCGAGGGGTGAACGGCCGGTGGCACCCCCARCCTTGGCCCTGTGTCTCCCACTGTCCCTTCTCACCACTGTCCACCTGTCCCCAGGCCTCCCCAAGGTCCCCATGAGTCTCCACTGCCCCGGTGCACCCCCTATCCTCATGTCCCCATGACACCCCACTCGAGGATCCTGCTCCAGCCCCGGACTGGCTCTGGGTGACGCTGGAATTGGGCTGTGAGGCCACAAGTGCTCCGTGGCTCAGGTACAACCTTGGGCCTCACACAAGGAACAAACATTTGGGCTAAAACGTCTAAAATCAGCTTTATTTACAGCAGGAAAAGCAAAACAAACCCCGCAAGGGTGAGGATCAGGCTGCTCCAGTGGCCTTTCTTCAGGAGTCACCTGCTCCAGGAATCATAGGCCATTGATTCTTCCCAAGGGAAAGAGCCCAGAGCTGCCATGTTGCACCAGGGAAGCAGGAAGAGCCAGASAAGTTCYGGCTGCCTCCTTTCTCTTTGCCTTSCCTCCACATTTTTTTCCCAAATGTGTAAAAGAACACACCTAACCCAGCCGGGGTGTGTTTTGTGTTTTGTTTGGTACATGGGATGACACTGCCTTTATAGCTGTGGTCCCAAGTTAGACCAAGGACAAAGGAATTCCCAGTGGGAACAGGGAGAAGGCAAAGGGAACATCCAGCTATCTGTGGAGAGGGCTTGCTGGAGAATCAGAGGAGGAATGACTGAGCCCTGGTTGTTACAGGAAGAGAGAAGCGAATAAGCAAAGACACCCCCAAAGGCAAGGCAGGTGTTCCTTTTGTACCTTCTAATTTCATAAACAAATCAGCAAATCTGTCCTTGATTCCCAGCCCGCTGACATCACTGCGGGGGGAATTCAACCTCACCTCAACTTCTGTTTTATTGGCACATCTCCCCTAAGCGTTTTAGAACCAGGGTGCCACAGTAACCAAAATTAACCCGACCTTCTGCTACTGGATTTCTTTACCCTGATTTAGCAGTTTCATTTGCACTTGTGTGGGAAGGTTCCGGAAGGTTCCACCCACAGGCAAATCCATGTGGTTATGGACTGTGACCCTCCCTTCYTGCAGGGTCCAGCCCAGTTTGCCCACAAGGATGATAAAGACAACCAAGCCAGGATTTASGGTAAGTCCTGCTCCCCTACAGCTCTTCCCTGCCACAATGTGACAATACCCAGACCCAGATCCATTGCTAATTCCATCCAAAAGCAGCACAGGCTTCCTTTCAGCCCGAGGACACCATCTGCAAGCCCCAGGGAAACGGAGAGCAACCACATGGAATGTCAGTCACACATTAGTACTCCCAAATCCCACAAATCAGCATCCTAAATCCTGCAGCTCACAAAGCTCAGCTGGGTCATTAAACCTTGGAGTATCCACAAGTCCCTGGATTTRAATATCAGTTCCCGGTCTCAGCGAGGGAGGTTGACATGGAAGTGGCCTTTAGAAACAGCCCACAGGATGTGGACAAGGCAGGAAGTCATATCCAAAATCACTTTRGACATGAAGATCCCTTTGGAGCTGAACTTGTTTTGGCAGAGCTGTCTGGGCTCAGCGACGAGGAGCTGGAGGGAGGAAAAGTCACTTGGAAGGCGGAGCTCTGGCTGAAGGCTCCTCTGGAAAATGTTGGGGACCTGGCCTGTGACACCTGCCCAGCTTGGGGACATCCTCCGAGGCCGGGCTCAGCTCCCTGCCCGGGACACCAGGTAGTAGAGGATGAAGAAGATGAGGATGAGCGCCACGGACACGGCGAGGAGCAGCCGGCGGTTGTCGCGGCCGGAGTGCGCCATGCCGGAGAAACGCTTCACGCTGCCCGTCAGCAGCCCTGTCACGCTCAGGAAATCCGAGTCCTGCGGGCAAACACACATTGGAGGCACTGCCAGATCACCAAATATCCYGAATCACAAGGATGTTCCAGTTCAACTCCAGCCCTGCACAGGGCACCCCAACAATCCTGGTGCTGATTTAGGGCTCCTTTCTCCCTTAAGAGCTTTTGCCATGCCACCTTTCATCCCAATTCCCAGATTTGCACAGAAAGCCCTGTGTCCCATTTCCCGGGTCCTTACCATGCCATCCAGGTAGCGGTTCTGGTCCTCAGCATCCTTGTCGATATCCAGAGCAAGCTGCAGGGCAAGGCAGAAAATGAGCATTAATGAGCTTTTAATTAATGTTCAGAAAACCTCTAAAATCTGAAATACATGTTATTAAAACAAGCTGCTGCTTTCCCAGCTCCAACAGACACACAGGGGTTTATCTGGTACAGGAACAAGGAAAAAGCTTCTCATTTCCCTGTCAGGCAGGTAAACTTTTCCAGCTCTGAAAAGAAAGCCTGACTGTCTAAATCTGTCAGGTGGAGAGGGGAGTTTAAACACTGGGATACAATGGCAGGAATTCAATCTGCCCTTTCACACACCGAGTCATTGATTTCTTTCATGGCTTATAGTAAATTTTTAGCAATAATTTAGAGCTTAATTTGATGTTAGCAGGCACAAACCAGCTTTAAGAGCACTGGCAACAGAGAGACAGGTATTTTCCAAAATTAATCTACCCGCCTTTTTGTTGTGATTTTTCCCCTGAGCAAGTGAGCTTAGCAATATCCTGTTCAAGACCAGGTGAGGGGGCTTGGAGCAACCTGGTTTAGTGGAAGGCGTCCCTGCCTGTGGCACAGGGTGGCACTGGATGAGATTTAAGGTCCTTTCCAACCCAAACCATTCCATGGCTCTGTGATCCTCTGCATGATCCCCAAGTAACCAGATCCCATCCTTCACCTCAACACCTGGCGTGATCTCGGCACTCACCGATTTCAGCCTGGTGACCTTGCTGACCAGGCTGTCAGCCATCCGCTTGTTCTCCACGTCCAGCAGGTCCTCCATGGCGCTCGGACTCTGCCCTGGGCACAAGAAAGAGGAGCTCATTGTCCCTGCCCAAGTGTCACAGCCCCTCCTCTCATGGTTTGCACCGTGGAACACTCCCAAAACTGACCAAAACAACCCAACCTTTCCCCAAAAAAGCCAGGGCAAGAACCCTGACTTGGCACTCTGAATTGCCACCGTGGCCCAGCAGCAGCTCGGTGACATCCAGGGATGAGATTTGGGTGAAAMCCGGCAAATTTGGGCCCTTTTCCCTTTGGCGGTGTCGGAGTCTCTCGGCATTGCCCCCCATTGTTGGGTAGCTGGGGTTGGTGGGGGGGGATTTAGGATTTCCGGAGCGATTAGGGGTTATGGGGGCAGTTAGGGGCTCAAAGGGGATTTAGGGTTTATGGGGGGCACTTGGGGGCTSAAGGGGACAATTAAGGATTGGGGGAGGTAATTAGGGGTTGGTCCAGGATCCCAAAAAGGGCCCAGCAGGGCAATTAAGGATTACGCGGGGAGGCGATTCCAGGGCTATAGGAAGGAAATCAGGGCACGGCGAGAGGCCCCATGGGGTTTAGTGGGATCGGGGGATCCTCTTCCCCCTGACCCCTTCTTCTGCCCCCCAAACCCGACCCTGTGGCTGTCGCTGTCCCCTCACCTCGGCCCCGCTCCGCCATGGCCGCCTATGGCCCGTCCCGCCCCGCCGGGCGGAGCCGCCACGAAATGTCCGCCCGCTCTTCCTCCTTCTCCTCCTCCTCCTTCCCCCCGGCACCGGGACCCTCGGGCCGCTCGCCCGGGCCGGGGCGGAAAGGCTGGAACATCCCCCCGAGGGATCCCGGGCCGCAGGTACGGCCGGTGCCCGGACAGGGGGCACGGCATGGGGCTGGGGGAGAAAACCGGGGCTACAAAAGGGGAGGATTGGCCAAAATTATAGCCGTTTGGAGACAAGAATTGGGGTCTGGGGAGAAAAAGAGGTTTGGAGGGGAAAGATTAGGGATTTGGGGGGAAAAAATAGGGGTTTGGGGGAGAAAATAGGGGCTTGGGATGAAAAATAGAGGTTTGGGGAGAAAGGTAAGGGTTTAGGGATATAAGTAGGGGTTTGTTGACAAAAAAAGGGGGTTTGGAATGTACCCAAATGGTGGGGGAAGGAGGTGACAATGTGGGGAGCCAGCAGGGTTRTGGAAAAGGGGGATATGCCCAATGATCCATTGGCTCATGCCATSCCCCCAAAAGCAGAGTGGATCCTCTCCATCCCAGCCCCTGGGTGTGGGGATGCTGTGTCTCTGACCCGRGCCAGCCCAGCCTCCTGTCCCCGCAGCTTTCCGCCTTCCAAAATGCAGGATCTGCCCATTTTGGTCCTCCCGAAAAGCCCCTTTGGGGCTGCGTGGGCAGGAGGGGACAACCCCTGTGATCCCCAAAGCCCGTGGGCTCTGGGCACGGGTTCCCGGTTTTTTGAGGTTGGTGTGACGAGCTCAGCCTTATCCTCATGGGAACACSGCAGCCACACACGTGTCCGAGCCCAAATCTGCTGGATTTCCCCCCAGCGGCAGTCACATCCCATCGCCGTGGGCTCGCGTGGCTCCGCCAGCCGCTAAASCGGTGCCGTGTCCAAAATAATCCCGCGGTGCTGCGCATCTGCTCGCTGGCACTGTCGGCAGGGACATCCTCTCCCGGGGGACAACCGGCTCCGGACGCGCCTTTTGGCTGCGATTGCAGGCATCGGCCATCATCCGAGCTGCCACCAAACCCTCCTGCTCTGCTTCCCACCGCCTGCCAAGGTAGCTCCGCCCGGAGCCGGAGGATGCTCTCCCGCCTGGCTGCCTCGCCGCTCCATCCCTTGTCACTCCACGGGAATGTTTCTGGCTTTATTTGTTATTTTCCCCCCTGTGCGGCAGCAGAAATCAGGGCAGGCGGGGAGGAGGAGGAGGAGGAGGCAGGGAGCTATTTCAGGGAGCTGCTGTTATCTGCTCCGCGTTAATCCCCGGCTGGTGGGGGGAAGGTTTTCCCTGAGCGCTTTCCTGGGAGGGCATATATTAAACATTGAAAAGCGACGCGAGGAAGAAGAGGATTAGCGGGAGAGAGAGGAAGCTGGCTGCTGGCTTTGCTCGGGTTATCCATCTGCTCCACTTTTATGGATGCAGCAGTGTGAGCAATATCACTCGAGTTTTTTTTTTTTGTGTAGCGTTTTTTGTCTCCTTGCTCTCCCCATCCCTTTCTCTCTTCCCTCTCAGAGATCTGAGTGCCGAGGTGCTTTTCCATCACCCTGGAAGCCCCCCTAACTCCCCTTCCTCCGTGCTGCGCCGTCGCTAAGCTATCGGGATCATGGAGCTCCAGGCTGTGGTGTCCACGCTGGAAARCGGGGAGCAAGACACGGTTCTCAAGGTGCTCCAGGTCTACAACCAAGAGGTGAGTGAGCATCAGCCCTTCTCTCAACTCAACTAAAAATAAATTATTATTCAGATTCCAAGTAAAACCTGGCAGGGAAATAAGAGTCGGTGTGAAGACCGAGTAGGAGGAGCTTTTATGTTAAGGCAGTTTTGGAGGTGATAAAAGAGTCCCGGGAGGAGCTGCAGGTGAAACAACGTTGGGATTTGCAAGTCAAAGATGCTTAGAGGTGGCTGCTGGGATTTCATATGGGCATGGCTCTGAAAGCAGTAAATCATGAATATAGAATATCAAACTCCAGTGAGATGGGAGCAGAGATTGAAGAGTGTCTAGCCTTAAAGCAGGAAAAAATTATCCATGGGAGTAGGTTTTTGCTTGGAGAAAGGAAACTGAAGGGAGACCTCAGCTGTTTACAGCTTCCTCTTGAGGAGCAGCTCCAACCTCTGTTCTCTGTGACCAGTGACAGGACATGAGAGAATAGCTGGAGAGGTTCAGGTTGAATGTTAGGGAAAGGTTCTTCCCCCAGAGGGTGGTGGGGCTCTGGAACAGTTCCGCAGGGAATGGTCACGGCCCCAAGGCTGCCAGAGCTCCAGGAGTGTTTGTACAATGCTCCCAGGGATGCACAGGGTRGGTTTGTTGGGGTGTCTGTGCAGGGCCAGGAGCTGGACTGAATGATCCTGTGGGTTCCTTCCAGCTCAGGATRTTCCATGGTTCTGTGAAATCCTGTTGGAAACACACTCTGGTTGTCAGGGAAATTTCCTTTGGAGGTTTCCCCTGGGAGGGGCTGGCCCTGTGGATCACTGTGACTCACTCTGCACCAGGCTGGAGTAGGTGGAAGCCAGCAGGGAAAACCTGAAGAGTATTTTGCAAGAGTGTGTGTGAGAGAGAGAGAGTGTGTGGAACTGTTCCTAACAGTTGGATTTGGAATGGAGAAATATTGGCCAAGACGGAGCAGGTGCCTGTTAAGGACAGCACCGAGGATTAACTGCACCAGCAGCAGGTCCAGCGGCGGAGTCCTTGGGGTGCAAACAGAATCTCTGTGCCCCCAAACCACGATATTTCCGGTTGGATTCCCCCAGCTGGGCCCTTCCCGGGGTATCAGGCCTAGGGAGCTGAAGCCAGAGGGTTTGCTGGCCTGTCTGGAGGAAATGGAGCAGTCAAAGAGGATTATGAAACTGCAGATAAAGCCGGCACGGCCTGGTATCGCTTCTGCTGCAAGACTGATGGTTCTGTATCCTTTTCCTGTGGATTTATCTTAATTCACTGTCATGCACTCAATTTTTGGTTGCTGGGAATAAACTCCACCTAAAGCAAAATCCCAGGTGTGACCGAAATACCCCCAGAAGGGGTTACAGCCTGCAGAGAGGATGTGCTGAGGGAAGAGCAAGCAGCTTGGCTATCTGTGGAATGGGGCAGTGCCGGGACCGAGATATCGGTTCCTGGTAACGTTCCTGGTGACTGCCTGTGGATGGATCAGCTCACGAGCTCACACACAGCCTGGCCAGAGTTCTCCTGTCCTTCCCCCACCCCTGGGGCTGCTCCAGGCACTGTGTCCATCGCTGCTTCTGGGCTGGACAGACTAACAGCGTCACACATGGATCAGTGGTTTATGGATTTTAAATGCCTTCGTTCTCCAAGCTGGGATCAAACCCTCTCTTGGTGTAAACAAGGATTGCCTCACTCACTGGGAAATGCTGCTTCTCCCCAGGCACCTGTGATCTCCTGTGCTCTCCAGTTCCATGGGAGCAGTTTTGGCCAGGAAGGGGACTGTCAGTGAAGAACAACCAAAATGATGAGAGAAACAGAAATGTTTCCCATGAGTGGAGATCAGGAGTGCTTGTTAGGAAGGGAACAGGATGGAGTGTGGAGATCAAGTCCCTTGTGTTTAAAGAACGACCTGGATAACCACGGGAATCCATTCCCATGTACCAAGGACTTCTTTTGGCCAGGAAAAGGAACAAAAATGTCAAGGGGAGACGTAGAGGCACAGCTTGTGGTGTTGCTGAGCAGGGGAATTACTGGCTTTTACGGGATATTAGGATTGGGATGAATACCCACTGTGCTGCTGCAGTATTTAAACTAAATCCATCTGTCAGCTGGCCCGTGGCATTCCAGTGGCTCCATGGATCCAGGGGTGATGCCCATTACAGGGTGTGCACTGTCGGGAGATGGTGTGTTTGCAGTTGCAGCATGTTTTGGACCTGCTGCTTTCCAGCTGAATGGCTCTGTCCTGGTCCCATGGAGTTTTAACCTCTTCCGTATCCTGATTGGTTTTGTTTTTCCCACAGAAATCTCAGTGCTTCACCTTCGAGGATGAGGAGCGGGAAGAAAGGAAGGTAGGCACACGCTCCTTGCTTTCYTCCTCTGGTCTGTGTGTAAGTCAGCTGCTCTGTACTCATGTCCAGCTGGGCTTGGCAAACAGCTCCCACAGAAGAAGAAATGAGAGTTTTCCATTCACTTGGTTAGGGAATGGCTCTGTTTTTTCCATCAGTAGCTGGTGGTTTTGGATAAAGGTCAGCATCCATCCGGCATTAGCAGCAGTTCCATGATCCATTCCCAGACACGGGTGCAATGCCTTTGGGATGATCTCTGGTGCCTGTGGGCAGGGATCACAGCACTGCTGGCTCCAAGGGAGGGTGAGAGGCTCTGCTGGGAGCCAGCAGTGGGATTTGCCCGGAGCTGTGTACTAACAGATCCTTTAAGCTGGTGTAATCTGGCACTTGGAGGRAAGGAACACTCTGCCTGCCCATTCCTGCTCCTGCAGCTCTTCATGCCAGGGCAGGCCTCGGCCTGGCTGTTCTGCCATAAGAATGGCTGTTTTCCCTGGATTATTTTCCAGCTGGCTCAGTTTTGTGGTCAGTWCCCTGGTGGATGGTGCCAATGCCTGTGTTAGCACAGCGAGTGCAGGCCAGGTGACCCGGGTGGAGARCAGGACCTCCTTTGGCTGTGCCAGGGCCAGCTGCTGCCACAGAGGGTGTTCCAGCACAGCCTGAAGTGTGGGGCTGGATCTGCTGAGATCTCTTTGCCTTGCACTGACCCTGTTTGAGCTGGGAYAGTCACACAGGACGTGGCTGCAGGCACACTGTCGCACAGTGTCCCACTTTCAGAGYGTATGCCATGAAACACCACCAGTTCCTGCTGCTTGTTCTGATGGTTCAGCTTCAGGCAAACACCCCGAGATCTCTTTCCCCCTGAGCCAGCATGAGACTTTGGTCACTGTGACTGGATCTGAAACTCTGTCTCCCTGTGAGGAAGGAGAAGAGGAACAGCTGTACTTCCTCACTTCCCCAGGATGTCGGTGTGGGGCACACACATTAAGGACTAGAGTTCAGTTTTCCTTCCTTCCTCCCTTCCTCAGTAGTTTAATTTTGCCAGGGGAGGGTCAGGTTGAACAATCAAGAGGAATTTCTTAATGAARAGGGTGGTGGGGCATTGGAAGGGGCTGCCCAGGGAGGTGGTGTAGTCACCATCCATCTCTGGAGGTACTCCAGGAACAGCTGGATGTGGCACTGAGTTCTCTGGGGTTGTTGTGAAGGTGCTGGTTGGTCAAAGTTGAACTTGATGGTCTTGGAGGTCTTTTCTAACCTGAATGATTATGATTAATGACTAATGGTTATGATTAATGATTCCAACCTTAATAATTCTATGATTATTTCAAAGTRCAACCAATGGGGTTGTGTTTAGCCAGTTGCAAACCTCATTTTTGGGTTCTTTTGCTCTTGTAACATCACAGAAAGATCCATGCTCTGAGCTGTGTCGAGGTCTGATGGGCTCTCAGCTGCCCCAGCTGTGTGTGAAGTGTTGCCACACGTGGTTCAGCCTGAGCTGCCCATGTCTGTAAGGCCTTACCTGTGCTCTGGTGCTGCTTCATGACTTGTTGTTCCCCGTGAGCTGAATTGTGTTAGTGGGGCTCTGCCAGTCTGTACCCACAGAGGATCTGGGCCAGTAGGTCTCCAGACAGCACTGAAATTAAGGAGATGCTGCTTATTTGAATCTCCTGAGGTCTCTTCACCTCTTTTCCCAAGGCATCACATGCTCCCTTCACCTCCCTCGGGTCCTGTGGAGTGGTCAGGTCAACCCTGTCAGCCTGAACCATCCTCACCGGGGCAGAGCTACAGCAGTGACCTGTTTGTGCTCTCCCTTTACACCCAGCACTTTCTGCAAGGCATTTTTTCCCGGTTGTTCTTGCCCAGACTGGTGCAGGATCAATGCCAGAGCCAGGCACTTTCTGAGGAGCAGGTGACCCTGCTGTTGTCCGGGGCAGAGCATGYGGGGGGCAGAGGGAGCACTTGGAGCTGTGGGTATCCAAGGTGTTGCTTATTTCCAACTGCACAGAAAATGGCCCAGCTGCTGATCACATTCTTGGAGAGGGAGCTGCAGCCGTCCTGCCAGGTCACCTGCCTGGAGAGCATCCGCATCCTGTCCCGAGACAAGCACTGCCTCGACCCTTTCACCACCAAGGAAGGCCTGAAGACCCTCTCCAGGCACGCTGGCATCGATTACTCGGAGGAGCTCATCCGGGAGGTCCCAGATTTGGATGTAATCCTGGAATCACTGAAATGCCTGTGCAACATTGTGTTCAGCAGCGCCATGGCGCAGGAGCTGACGGCCCAGGGGCGGCTGGTGGTGGGGCTGGCCCGGCGCATCAAGCTCTACAACGAGCGGAGTCTCCCTCACGACATCAAATTCTTCGACCTGCGCCTGCTGTTCCTGCTGACGGCCCTCAGGGTGGACATCAGGCAGCAGCTCGCCCAGGAGCTCCGGGGCATCAGCCTCATGACAGACACCCTGGAGCTGACCCTCGGGGTCAAGTGGTTGGACCCCTAYGAAGTTGCCACCGAGGAGGGACTTCTGCAGCCTTTGCCTCGGCAGGAGACGGAGCGAGCCATGGAGATCCTCAAAGTGCTCTTCAACATCACCTTTGATTCCAGCAAGAGGGAGGTGGAYGAGGTGAGCTKSTTGGGCATTCATGTGTCTCCAGGCTCTGGCTTTGCAATTTTTCTCCTCCCTTGCATTTCCTCGTGTCCCAAACTGTGTACCCTCAGGGTGGGGAGGGACTCAGGTGTCTTTAGGGCACTGCCTCTGTYCAGTGCAGTATTATCCCTCACTTTRCCTGTGCTTTTGGAGCATTCCCAAAAGGAGAATTGAGGGTATGCTTCCCCTGGAACCCCCTGCAGTCCAGAGCCTGCTGCTGGAGGGGGATAGGCTGCAGGCTCTGGGAGGTGTGGGATCCCCTTTGCTGATCAAGGTGTTCCTTCTCCATTTTGGGGCCAGGAAGACGCTGCTTTGTACCGGCACTTGGGTGCCCTCCTGCGCCACTGCCTCATGATCTGCGCTGACGGCGAGGACCGTACCGAGGAGTTCCACAGGTCTGTGGTGGGAAGAGCTTCACCTGCAGSTTCGCCTGCTCCCCCAGGCACATCCTGCATGAGCTTGAGCYGCTGGGTGAGACACTGCTGACCAGCAGCTCTTGGGTTTAGCCAAGATCCCTCATGCTGCTGGAACTCAGAAACAGCCTTTCCAACAGCCTTGGAATGCCATGTGGGAATGCCCTCCTGGCCCCTGAAATCCTGTTTCATGTCTTGTGTCAGGCTGTCCCAGCAGTGACATCCACCTCAGTGGGCAGCTGGCCAGAGAAGATGTGTGCTGCTTTAATTAAAAAGTCCATGAGGTGACCTTAATTAGCCTTAAGCYGTGCTGAGAAATTGGCTGTGTCATGTTGCCAGGCATTATTGGTGCAGGGGTTTCAGCTTGGAGCAGGTGACACCACCCTGTCCCCAAGAACACATAGTCAGGGGGATCCCAAGCAGTGCTGGCATGGACCATCAGGATAAGAAGTGGTACAGGAGACTCCAGAGACAGACCTCAGACCACCAACATTGGTCCTGCTTGGCTCTGTGTCACGACCTGTGGGTTCTCAGTTGTCACTGAAGTCTCTTTGGACTCTCAGCACATGGTTCAGCTGCTCAAAAAGCATTTAAAGTTATTCCTTTTCAGTAGTGTGAGGAGCTTGAGAYGCTCCAGGAAAGCTTGGATCACAGGGTCCTCACACTCCTGGAAGTTAATCACCGGCCTTCATTTCTGCAGAGCTGAAGAACTTCTMTGAGCAAGGCTCCATCACTGTGAGTTCACTTCTCTTCTCTTTCACATGTGCAGTCACACAGTCAACCTGCTGGGCAACCTGCCCCTGAAGTGTCTGGACGTGCTGCTGACCCCCAAAGTGCGGCCGGGCTCGCTKGAGTACATGGGCGTCAACATGGATGCGGTCAGCATCCTGCTGGACTTCCTGGAGCGGCGCCTGGACAGGGTACATGGTGGGGCTGCTCCTTCCCCCAGCCCAGGGCACCTTCCCCTCGCCTGGTGGGAGCACCACGCTCGGTTTGGAGTTAGCCCTTTGTAGGAGGGGCAGCTCTTGGCAGAGCTGGGGTTGGTGGGACTAAACCAACATCCCTGGGTTGGGAAGGTGGCTGCTGTTGCTGTGAGGGCTCGGCATGATTGACATGCTGCTCGTTTTGGGAATGTTTCTGCAGGGCCATAAACTGAAGGAGAGTTTGACCCCAGTGCTGAACCTGCTGACRGAGAGTGCCCGGGTTCACCGGCAGACCAGAAAGTTCCTGAAGGCCAGGGTACGCCGTGCTCAGCCCTGCATTCAGGGGTGCTGCCCTGAGGGGAGGGGAGACGAGCAAAACCCTGCTTATGGCCACCCTCCAGACACCTCTGGCTTCTGCTGTGGGTGCTTGAGGCCTTTGGTAGCCACAGTGACCTCTCCGTGGCCCCGCAGGTGCTGCCACCGCTGCGGGACGTGCGCAACCGGCCGGAGGTGGGCAATTCCCTGCGGAACAAGCTGGTGAGGCTCATGACCCACATCGACACCGACGTCAAGCACTGCGCTGCCGAGTTCCTCTTCGTGCTCTGCAAGGAGAGCGGTGAGTCCCACAGCGGGGGCTTCCACAGGGACCCTCTGCAGGGCTTCTGCCTTCCCTTGGGACAGTGGGGAAAGGGGAGAGCTCTGGGAGCTCTGTGGGAAGCAGGTGGTGTCTCTCACCATGGGCTTTGCTCCCTGTCAGCGTCTCCACGTCTCCGTGGCTTGGAGACACGGCACAGCTGTGCTGCTGGGGTTGGGAGCAGGAGGGGAGCACAGGGTGGTGTGTGTCCCTTCTCCCGGCAGTGTCCCGGTTTGTCAAGTACACGGGCTACGGGAACGCTGCGGGGCTGCTGGCGGCACGGGGCCTCATGGCCGGCGGCCGGGAAGAGGGGGAGTACTCGGAGGATGAAGACACGGACACGGAGGAGTACAAAGAGGCAAAGCCCAAGTAAAGAAATCTGTTCCTGCTCGGAAACTGCCCTCCGCCCTCACCTTCCTCCTGCCCCTGCTTCATCCCTCTGCATGCACCTCCTGCCATCTCCCTGTTCATCTCTTCCACATGCAGCACGAATGGAAGTGCCTGTTACTCCTACCCCTCTCCAGAGCTCAGCATTGCTCCACTCAGCTGTTTTTTGGTTCCTCTTTTTCCCTTCCTCTGTTTTTGTTCCCTTGCCCTCTCCTTTGTGGGTGGTATCTCAAGGGAGGGAGGTCCAAGTCCATGYCCACCCGTGTGTCCCACACTCACTGGTTTCCTGTTGAGTGTTCTTGCAGGYTGGGTTTGTTGGGATTTTCTCTTGTTAGCTTTTGTCTTCTGCCATGAGGAGAGGGAGGAAACGTCACCTGCCCTTGTGTTCCTCATTTCCAGTGGCACTGTGGCATTGGCAGAAGGGCATGTTAGAGAAAAGGGAGGTGTCTATAAGGACGTAGGTCAGAACCCCTCATAGCACTGGCACCTGGGGCTCTGGACACGAGCAGCAGTGAGAGCCAGTCCTGCTGTGCCATTGCTCTGCCCACAAGCTCAGAAGGATTCCAAACAGCCCTTTGTCACCTCCTGTCCCCTCTCCTGAGCCCTGACCTCACTGCTCTCTGCAGCATCAACCCYGTGACGGGCCGTGTGGAGGAGAAGTTGCCCAACCCCATGGAAGGGATGACGGAGGAGCAGAAGGAGCACGAAGCCATGAAATTGGTCAACATGTTTGACAAGTTGTCCAGGTACTGGGACATGGTGTGTGTCTGGGGGTACATCTGTCACAAGCCTGCCTTTGTCTGTGTTCCCAAGGCCTGAAGGGATCTGGGAGAGGGAGTGGCAGGGGATGCATGGGGAAACTCTTCCAGATTGGCAGCAGGGCACTGCCAGGCCCTCCAGCTTTGCCATGATGRGACACTGCGGAATTCCTCGCTGTGCCTGCGCTGTTCCCAAGCACCTGCAGCAGCCTCTGTCCTGGCAATGCTGCTCAGGGGGAAGCAGCATTCTGGGGACAGACAGTGGGGACAGATGGCAGCCAGTGCCACCATCCAATTTCCCTGTTGGGTTGCTCTCTCCAGTCATCTCTGATCCAGAGAAGCMCAGCTGAGTTCAGGCTTTCGAGAGTAGGAGGAAATTAACTTTATCATGTGTTGGAGGGAGAGGAACAAGGACATCAGTGCTGGTTTTCCTCTGGGAATCCCGAGCCACACGGARCAGGACTCTAGAAAAGAGCCTGTTCCAGGGAGCAGGATTGTGCTTCCAAACCATTGCTTTGCCATGCTGGAAGTTTTAAAGAAGGGATCTTTAGAAGGGTTTGGGCACGTTTCAGGCTATTTCCACATTCCTGCAGTATTCCTGGTGTGTTCCCATGCCCTGCTGCAGCTATGCCTTACCTTCCCCCTCTCCTCCTGGCTGCAGGGAGAAGGTGATCCAGCCCATGGGCGTCACCCCCAGCGGCAACCTGGCGCCCATGGAGAACGCCATCCGCAGCATCGCCGACGAGCGCTCGTCCTCCGACTCGGACCTGGGGCTGGACTGAGCCGGCTCCACCGCAGCCACGGAGAGCCGAGCTCCGGCCGCTCTCCCTCGGAACTGGTGCTGCACCCAGGGGCYGGCACTGCGCCAGGACTCGCCCTGTGGGATCCAGATCACAGCCCACCACCTGGAACACCTGCCTCCTTCCCAGCTCCATAGCCACCTCTCCTTCCAGAGGTCTCCTGGCTCCACCTCGATCTCTCCTGTCAGCAGCCTTGAGGATTTCACACTCCAAATTGCTTCCGGGACTCTCCAGTAGGATTTTTGGGTTTTAAATATGTGCTGTTTGGGAAGAAGGGTCAGGGGGAGGCTCTTGCTGCCGCTGCATCAGGGTTCAGTGATCCACAGAGCCTCCCATGTGTGTGTGGCTGTGTCCACAGTGGGGGCTTCTCCCCGGGAATGCCATGGGAAGGGGGGCTGTCAGAGAGGGGTGTGGGCCTCCAGTGGGAGCAGGATCTGCAGGGTGTGGTGCAGGGGGCTGCATCCAGGTCCATGCACACCCAGAGCGTGTGGGTGAGCAGAGCAGAGCCCTGTGAGGCCTTGGAAGCTTCAACATTCCATTGGCCGCAGGAGAGAGCACGTGGGTGGCTGCTGGGAATGCTCTGATGTCCCTTCCTTGGCACTGGGCACTGTCCCTGTCACCACCCAGCTGGGTTTGGGCATTTGCCTCTCCTCACCTCCACCTTTCCAGACAAAAGGCCAATACCTGAGCTGTCCTTGGCTCCTCCTCGCTGTCCCCAGGCCGCTGTGACCCCAGGGGCTGCTCTCGGGCCTGGTGTAGATTTATCTTTATTTTTATTCCTGTTTTCTTTGGAAAGAAAATCTTCCCATTTGTCTCATGTACCCAAGTTTCCAAACCTYCCGTCACGAGTAGGAATGCACAAGTGACGCTAGAATAAAGCCAACCTGACACGTGGGAGCGTKGCCGTGATTCCTGGGAGCAAGGAAAGCCCTGTGGCTGTCCCCATGGSAGAGGATCCCAGTAGTTCTGCCTGTGTGTCCTTAGGAGCTGAGGGTGTTCCTGAACGTGGTCCCAGAGGTGAAGAGCTGGAGGGGTGCTTTGCTTGGTTTTCCAGTTTCCACTGCTGAGGCCCCTTGATTGCCATGTCCAGCTCTGAGCCCTTTGTGGACAGGAGGATATTGAGGGGCTAGAGCATGTCTGGAGAAGGGAATGGAGCTGGGGAATGGTCTGGAGCACAAGGAGCTGAGGGAGCTCAGCCTGGAGAAAAGGGGTTCAGGGGGGACCTTGTGGCTCTGCGCAGCTCCCTGACAAGAGGGACAGCGGGGGAGGTCGGGCTCTGCTCCCAGGAACAGGGACAGGACAAGGGGAAATGGCTTCAAGCTGTGCCAGGGGAGGTTTAGGTTGGACACCAGGAGGAATTTCCTCATGGAAAGGRCTGGCAGGCATTGGAAGGGGCTGCTCAGKGGGATGSTGGAATCCCCATCCCTGGAAGTGTCCAAGGAACACCTGGACATGGCACTYRGTGCTCTGGGCTGGTGACAAGGTGGGGATCGGTCACAGGCTGGACTTGATGGTCTGGAAGGGCTTTTCCWACCTGGATAATCCTGTGGTTCTGTTTWGTTCCTGACTGACCCCCAAGTGCCATTCCAGCTGTTGGGCTGGGGACAGCCCTGCTCTGTCACAGTGGGAGCTTTTAGGCCAACTGCATCTTTCTTTTTAACTAGCAAAAAACTCCCCCAGTGCCCTTCTGTGTGCAGACACGTCCCCTGATCCCTTCCCAGCTGTTGAAGCTTTCCCAAGCTTTCCCTGCAGAAGGAAAAGGGGGGGTTTGGTGCTTTTAATGCAGCTGCTTCTGATATTGTTTCAATTTTCCAGAGTGCTTTTAAATCCCTCAGAACAGCTGCCAGGCCTGGCCTGGAATGCCCTGGAGCAGGGAGTGAGCTTGGCACTGGGCGTTTTGGGAAGAGGTGTTCATAGAATCATAGAACTCCGCTTTGGGGGAAGCAGAGGGTGGTTAAAAACAAGTCCTCACCATTTCCAGTGTGGATCCATGTGSCACAAAGCTCTGTATTGTGTTGTGGCAGGTTTGGGACACTGCTGTGACAGGGCTGTGACACTGCCACCCCCCGGGATGGCATCTACAACAGGGAAAGGCACTTGTGTGAGGGGGAAAAAGGGAAATAAGGTACTAAAAAGCAGGTGAAAGGCGCAGTGGTGGGGACAGAAGGTGTGACTTTACAGAAAACCCCTCAGGTGACATCCAGAAACAAATTATTTCTCTCTTTATTATTAAATAATTAACACTCTAGTGATTCAGAAATTCTCTAACAGCTTGAGCTAGAATGGGGGCAGCTACCCCCGCCCCTGGCTTGTCCTCTGATTAGCAGAGATTTCACGGAAGGCTAAACACAGCCTGCAGCAGCCGAGGATGATGGCCAAGGGAACAGTGGCTGGGGAGGAGCTGTGACAGGAACTGGATTGCTCAGCCCAGTGGGAGCTGGAAAACTCGCTCCAGTCTGTCCTGGCATGACCTTCATGGCATTCCAGCTCCTGCTCCGTCGAACCAGTGCCTCTGAGGGGCTCTGGGGTGGATGGCTTGGAAGGAGGGAGATCCCACAGCCAACTGCAGACACTGAGCTCATTGGATATGCYGGCACGAGCCCCCAGGCCCTTGGACACTTGCTGGTGACACTCGTGGCTGGACGTCCTCAAATGACGTGCTGAGAGGTGACAGGAGCACCTTCCTACTTCTCCTTGGCATCCAGCTGAAAACAGAGACCACAGYGCTTGCCAGGGAGCATCAAACATTCCAGCACCATCCCGACAGGTTGCACAGAATCCCGCARTCCTGGAATRGTTTGGCTTGGAAGGGAYCTTAAAGCTCATCCAGTCCCAGCCCCTGCACTTTCCACWAGTCCAGGTTGCTCCAAGCAACTGTTTTTCCTCTCTCACAGTTTCCTCTATCAGCATTATCCAACAGGGATTCAGAGCAGCACAAGCATGGAGCCAAGGGCTGGCTCGTCCCCAAAACATTGGTGCTGGAAAATCAAAAACCTGGCCAAAAGGCTAAGAATTGCTACTCATTCCTGCCTCATAATCTGATGAAAGTAAGAACAACATGGATGAGACAACTGGAATCTTGAGGCCAGATTTTATGAAGTCACGTTTGGACAGCATATTCCTAAGAAATACAGCTGTGTTTGATGTGAAATATGGAGAAATCCTCCCAGTGGTCTAAAGGAATGTAGTAATTAACATCAGCACTAWGCTCTGAGTAATTAAGAACTTGTTCCCCTGCAATTTCTCACTCCTGAAGATCCCAGAAGGTTACAGATGTGAGAATGGTGGAGGAAAAAAAGATTTTTAAGGATTCATCACTACCAAGTGGAGCAGGAGCAGGAACTCCACTCCCTGTCCAGCTACAGCAGCACTGCTTGGGTCTCAGCACAATCAGAGCATCCCTTCCCTCTCTCCTACTGCTTATTGCTCCTGTGAAACAKGTTTGGGTTGGTTTGGGTTTTTTTTGCACTCTTTGCAGTGTAGTAACCCACTCCCCTGGGTAACTCCAGCACAGGGAGCACAGAGGCTGAGGGGGCAGCTGGCGCTCTGAGCCTCTTCCTACCTTCTCTTTCTCCTTCTGCATCAGTGTCTGCATCTCGTCACTCCAKCCCAGCAGCTCCACCAGCTTCTCAACGCCCCCGACCACGTCCCCGAGCTGRGCCACGTCGTTGTGGCGCTGCTGCCACGCAAAGGGGCCCACGAGCTCCCGGTTGATGAGGACCCTTGGCACGGAGCTGCGCACGGCTCCGGCCAGGCTGGCGAAGGGCTCCACCTGAGGGGGGAACCGAGGGGGAACAGAGACAGTCACCTGGCACACTCAGCTCAGAACCCCTCAGCCACCCCAGCTCTGAACGGGTCACAGTGTCACCAGTTACCTGGTGGCCTTTCCTCAAGTAGCCCCAAAGCTCTCCAGGTGCCCATCTGCTTTCCAGAAGGTCTCTCAGAGCACCTCCACCCTATTTCTTACCCTCCACCTCAAATTTCACCTCCCTGACCCATTTTCTCGCCGTCTCTAAACCCTCCCTCCCCTCTGGAGTTCCTTCAGGTCCTGTTTTCCATTCCTTTTTCCCCRGGGGTTCCCCTTATTCCCAGACCTCCAGGGATGTCCCGATGAYGAAGAGCAGGTCTGCCATGGGGAAATCTGTCAGGTGCAGGAGGAAGCGCTGTGGGAGCTGCTCGCCGAAGAACACRATGTCAGGCTTGACCACTCCGGTGCACACAGGGCAGCGAGGGACCCTGTCCTCCATGACATCCCTCTGAGGGGAGAGACCCCAAAACTGCCTGTCACAGGGACCCCATTCCCCTGAAGGGAGAGGCCCCAAACCTGCCCATCACAGGGGTTCAAAACCACCACGTGTCCATACAGCAATGCCCAGCCTCAAACCTGATCCACTCCCTCTTGTCCCCAAGGCAAAAGAACAGGTTTGGACCTGTCATKACTGTAATAATTAATGCCTCCTTGTGTTAATTGCTGTGCTGATGCCCTGCTGGCCCCACTCACCCTGAAGTCCTCTCCGGGGAAGTTCCTCCGACACACCGTGCAGGTGGCAGTGGCAAAGGTGCCRTGGGCTTCCACCAGCCTGTCAGGAGGGATCCCAGCCACTGGAATACAGCGTGTGGGACAGGACTGAGCCAGAGCCTCCCCGTGTGCAATTCCCCAATCCTGCTTCTCCCCTCAGYTCCTGGTGCTGCTGCTGGAGATGTGAAGAAGGAGCTCACCTCTCTCCAGCCCGTCGATGTTCTGGGTGTAGAGGCGCAGGAGCAGCCCCTTGTCGTGCAGCAGCCGGAGGAAATAGTGGGCAGAATTGGGGCGGTAGTTGCCGGGGTAGAGCTCCTTGGCCAGRGTGAAGAAAGGCTTGGGGTTGGTGAAGAAATAGCCCAGCTCGAAGATGGCCTCGGGGTAGGGAATGTCGTACTGCTCCAGGTTGCTGTACAGGCCGCTCCCAGGGGACCTGTAGGGACAGGGGGCAGCTGAGAGGGGCTGCAGGAGGTACATGGGCTGGAGACACAATTCCAGGATTGCTGAGGTTGGACAAAACCTCCAAGACCATAGAGTCCAACCTGTGATCCATCATCACCTAGTCAACCACAGCACASCCATCGTTCCTTGGACACCTCCGGGGATGGCAACTCTACACCAGCCCCTTCCAATGTTTAATCACCCTTTCATAGACAAGGCCTCAGCCCTCTGAGGACCAGGAGGATGGAGCCATCACCTGAAGTCGGGGATGCCGCTGGGCGTGCTGATCCCGGCACCGGCCATCACCACCACGCGCCGACATTCCTTCTTCCGCAGCAGCTCGGCCACGTCCTTCAAGGTGAGCTTCTGCTTGCCCTCATCACCTCCCCACCKGCCCAGAATGGCTCTGGCAGCACTCAGACAGAAGGGTCTGGAGCCTTGGGTCCTGCTGGGCACAGGGGGAAGCACAGCACTGAAAGAACTGACAGCCACTTCGGCTCAGCGGGAGAAAAACAACCAAAATTGCACAGAAAGCTTTTCCCTGAGCAGGGCTTCTCTAGGAGAAAGCTTGGCTCTCAGTCTGACCCAAACCCTGGAGCAGACACATCCCTCTGCACTTCCTTACGTGGAGCTAAAATACCAAATCACAGCTATTCATGGACACGGGGATRGACACACTGGCAATTACCAGTCTCAGTGTTGATTTACACCACTCTGGGATCCAGGAGACTCTTCAGTGTCCTGAGTTCGACAAGTTTCTCTCAGGTGACGTGTCACCTTGCCCAGGTGAACACAGACACTGTGATTTCCCTTAGACATTGCTCCCCCTTAGGCTCAGCGTGTCCTTGTCCAAAGGAATCACTGCCCTGTGCCCAGCTGGGCTGGGAACAGCCATTATCATCTGGGAACAGTYATTAGCATTTTGGGAACAGTCATTATCGGCAGGGAACAGCCCCTCCCAGAAAATTAGTGGCTCTRCCTTCCCAGGGATATGATCCTGCCTTACTCTGCTGTCAGAGGGATGTGACAGCGCCTTCCAGAGACGTGACATTGCCCTGCCTTCCCCTGCTGTCACAAGGACATGGCTCTCCCCTGTGAGACCGGGTTTCCAGGGAGCTGAACTCACAGTCTTGGGAAAACACTGATATTTCCCTGGCAGCTCCCTTCTCTCCGGCTGCCAGCCCAGCCCCGGCTCGCAAAGCGATGTCCCTGCTTTGACGGGGACGGCACAACCCCCATCACGGGAGCACATCCCATGCCAACACCGATCCCCACCCTCCTGTTCCCKCAGGGATGCTCCGGTCCCCAGCCGCCCATTCCCCACGTACCTCCCGGCTCCGCCGCCGGCCAGCCCCTTCCCGTCCCCGCCGCACCGGGCTCCCTGTGCAGTGCCGCCGCCATGGCGGGGCCCGCGCTCCCACAGGCTCCTCCAGGCTGCAAGAGAGCAGAGCGGTGCTGAGGGCGGCCCGGGGGTCCCGGTGCTCCC